CACTAGATTCAGGGGCCATCCTAATCTGTTATGACTAGTATTTCGGGGCGGGGGGGGGGGAGGGGGGGAATACCAGAAAGAATTTTTTTAAAGACACTAGAAATTTCAGCTCAATAACTACTCTGAAGTCGTTGACTTTTCATCCTGTTTCAAAAAACAAAACAAAACAAAAAACACTAGAGATTCATGAGAGATATTAAAGTGAAATAATGAAAGGGCCACCGGTGCAAAACATCAACCTCAATTTACAAAGTGATGTCGCTGTATCATCAGGAGATTTTTATCTTCATAGACGTTGCATCTTCAAAACCCCAGACCCCAAGCTGGGTGTGGTGCTTATCTGAGGTTCTGTACAAAGATGAGGCTGCAGACAGGCCTCCCGCCCTTTAGAACTTCCCATCGTGGGAAATTATTGAGATGAGAGTAATACGCCCCCAAATAAAATTCAATGAGCATGACACAGTGACAGGGGCCTGCACTCCGGCCGTCCAGAAACTTGGCTGAAAATCCCCGAGTGCCATGTGGCTTCGATGCTTCAATGTCTCTTTGCCTTGAGGCCAAAGGAGAATGCGGGGACATGGAGGAGTCGCACAGAGAAGGACCGGGGCTGGGGACTCTGCCAGGAAAGCCGAGAACGCTGTACTCTGGGTCTCCCTGACACCTGATGAACAGCACCCACAGCAGGAGCCAAGGATGTGTCCAGGCGCTTGGGCCCTCCTGGGAGCGAGCCTCGCTGTGCTCTCAAAATGGGCAGCCCTGCTTCCCGGCTGGCTGAGATACGTTTGCTTTGTCCTTGTCCCCTGGGCCTCCAGGAACGGAATCCCAGATGTTTGCTGTCGGCTCCGTACAGAGGTGGACGTCGTCTTCACGCTGTGCCTTCCGGATAGTACCTCGCCCTGTTCTTTTGCATGGCATGGAAGGTACGTGTGCTGAGATTAATTTCATAGGGTTCTGGCCTCCCTACCACACGCTCCTCAGCACACACAGCCACAGTCTGGGACCAGCAAGACTTTCTCAGACGCCCCAGACACATACTCCATGCACACACATGTCAGGATTATAATGTGTGGCCCTGGGTGCCTGCATATACACGTGTGCACACACGCAGGTATGCTCACACACCTCCATGCACGTGGGCAGACTCCCTCCCCTCGTTGGACGTGGCAGATGCTGACACACCAGCACCTAAACCCAACCCAGCTGCCCCTGATATACGCCTCCCCCTCACAAGGGCCTTTGAATACCCTCTTGCTACTTCCTGAGAAGAGAATGAGCTGCCCCTCCCTCGGTCCGTCATAGGGCCATACACAGGTCCCTCCCATCAGCAGAAAAGCTTGTTTCTTGACCCCATTTGTTACCCTTATGTCACCCCACTGTGGGCCCTCTGGGTGCCCCAGCCCCCCAGCTTCTCCAGCTCAACAAGGGGCTGGCACATCCCTCAGGCCGAGGAGTGAAAGATGAAGTTTATGGGTTTCCAGTCCTAGGAGTCAGAGCTTAACCCAAAGAGAGGACCCAAAAGGGAGGAATTCTATTGGCTGTGGTCTGCAGGGGAAGGAGGAGTTTTCTTTCCGCAGAAGTTTTTCTGCAGAGAGTCCCACCCTCGCCCTCAGCCATCAGGAACAGAGAGCATCGGCCCCTCGGCCCCATGGGGCTCAGCAGCCAGGAGGACCCTGCAGGGGCCCGCAGCCAAGGTCATTGCCAGGAGCCCGAGGCCCAGCGAGAGGCTCCTCTCTCCCAAGGTCCCCACCTCGCCCAGCTTCAGGGGCTCTGGGGCTGAGGACAGGGGGACAACGCTCACAGTCCCTCCCACTGCTGCCACTGCCCCCCGGCCCCCCCAACACAGAGGAGAGCACCTGTCTCTAAGTCCCTCTTCCTTCTTCTCCTGCACAGGCTCTGCATCTTTAAGGGGAAATCCCAGCCACCTCCCTTTGGGGATGCGTGAGCCTCGGACTCCCTCTTCTGGTGAAGCTCGAGGAGGAGCCGGTGCCCAGAGCGGAGGGCTGGGTCTCGGAGGCCGAGGTGAGCAGAAGTCCCATGTCCCCTCCCTGTCCCAGCTCACCTGGGCACCCAGGGACCTCGGAGTACTTGGCCAGTACAGACTCTAAAAATCCTTCTTCTTCTCTTTCCTGGCAACTGACCCAGGGACAGCACGGTCTCCTCTCGGGCTCAACGACGTCACAGCCTCACGAGGGCCACCCAGTGTCCCCTCCCACAGCCGCCTTAGGACTCCTGGAGACACTGCTCTGCTGGTAGGTTTTCACCGGAAGGAACGTGAGCACATCCCTGACACTGACCAACGTGATGGGCTATGAAAACAGGCTGTGTTCTGTCTCCATTTCTGCGGTGGCCCCAAAGGCTGAGAATACAACAGCAGCTACCAAGCGCTTGCCGAGGTTCCAATGACGTGCTCACCACGTGGGCGGGAGTAGCCCAGGCCGTGGGAAAGGCTGCAAAAAAAATAAATAAATCCTGGTCCTCTGTCCACCTCCTGAGACTCTGACATGACTGGCCTGGGTGTGTCCTGGGTGTGTCCTGGACTCGGGGCCTTTCCAGGTTCCCCAAAGGAGAATCATCAGACTAGTGACTAGGGGGCTTCCTCAGACACTCCACACACATGCTCCATGCACACACATGCCAGGGTGTAATGTGGGGCCCTGGGTGCCTGCATATACACATGTGGAGAAACGAGATTAAAATATACCAGTCCTACCCTAGCCAGTTTTGCTCAGTGGATAGCGCGTTGGCCTAGGACCTGAGGGTCCCAGGTTCGATTCTGGTCAAGGGCAGGTACCTTGGTTGCAGGTTCCTCCCCAGCCTGGGCCCTGGTCGGGGTTCGTACAGGAGGCAACCAATCGATGTGTTTCTCATACATCGATGTTTCTCTCTGTCTTTCCCTCTCTCTTCCACTCTCTCTTAAAAAAAAAAAAAAATCAATGGAAAAATATGCTCGGGTGAGGATTAGCAACAACAACAAAAGAAACCCGGCCCTGGATTCCCTCCCCTCCCCGGAATCCACTCGCCCCAATGCTCCTGGCCTTTGGACAATGTGGTAACAGAGGCAGAAACTCCTTCATGTTGGAACTTCCTTCCCTCTGGGGTCTCTTTGTCACTGCAGTTTAGCCTGGGCCTCAGCTGGTCCAACCAGTGACTCCTTCAGGCTCTGGTCATTGTTACTGAGACCCACATGGGCCCGGCTTCTCTTTAGAATCCTGGCGGCGTAGGAGCGGAGCCCTGCCACCCTCTGTGCAGGTTCGGGGCTGAGCTCCTCCTTCTTCCCGGACACTGTTGCTGGTCAACAAAGGGTATGGATTGCTTTCCTTCCATCTCATTTCAGAGCAGCTTCGCAAAAAGGCATCACGTTCACTGGCCCCCGCATCTTCCAAGAAGGACCCGGCCTATGTCACTTATTCTGGTAGAAAAGTTCCTGACCCCAAGGTGAGTGGCCTTTTGTGAGCCCACGGGAGTGGGTTCTGTAGAATCTAAACCTCAAAGCCTGTGTTTCCTGCAGGGTCGGCGAGCCCAGGCTTTGGCCAGGCACCGACCCGCCACTCATACTTAGAAGTGCGCCAACGGGTGACTCAGCGGCCCCAGTATTTATGGGCTAAAGGAGGTCAGTTGCCGAGGTTAAAAGCAAATGTGGGGCCCTGCTAATTGAATTCCGATGAAGTGGAGGATGAGGGGGGGGGGGCACAATGAGTGGTTGGGCAAACCCCTTGAACTTCTTTTTCTCAGGATGACTTCCCATGCGTCCTTCAGGAAACGTTTTACTCGCCCTGCAACCCTTCATCTCAACCCACTGTCCAGTCCAAACCGGATCCCAGCAGGACCCCTCGGGCAACGCCGCAGGGCTGTGGGCAGAAACAGGTGACACCAGGCACCTGCTCAGCATCGCAGGGCAGGGCGTGGCCTATCGTTTATCTCAGGGTTCTGGGCAGGGGCCCCCGATATCAGACCAGGTAACCTTTTGTTGTGGAGGGATAGGGGCCGTCCTGCGCATGCTAGGGTGTTCACAGCATCCCTGGCCTCTACCCACTCGATGCAGGTAGCTCCCCAGCCAGTCCTGACAACAGAGGCTGTCTCCAGGCACGGCTCAGTGTCCCCCAGAGGCAATGTTGTCCCCCGGCGGAGAACCACTGCTCTAGATGAGTTCCATGCAGCAACAGTCACTGCTGCATCCCCGGGGCCTAGCACAGTGCCTGCCACACGGCAGGGGATGAAGACTTGTTGCGTGAATGTCTGGAGGAGAGCTGGGAGGGGCACACTGAGGCCCGCCCTGCAGAGGGCCCACTGGATGGGTACAGCAGGCACGAGTGCGCGCTCAGACCTCCTGCTCAGGGCCGGGCTTCCCATAGGTGCTCCCAGCCAATGGCCTTGCCTGGTGAGGGCGCTAATGCAGAGAACAAGACACAGGACACCTCCGACAGTGGCTCTGGCTGAGGGACACCCCAACAGCCTGGCCAAAACTTCCTTGGAACCGGGCTTCCATCAGAGACTCTCCCCGCCCACTTCTCCCTCCCCAGAGGTCAGCCCAGCGTCATGGTCCGAAGGCCCTCGCCGCTTCACCAGCTCCTACTCCTTATTCTTCCCAGGTGTTTCCCCAACAGAGCCCTTGCCCACCTAACCCCGCCTTGGCATCTGCTTCTTGGTGGGTCTGGGCAGCACACCTGGCATTCTAGAAGGCCGCCTTTCCCCAGCCCCCTTCCTGGGGGGTGTCACACTCTAGGGCCTCTCCCTGGCCATGGCTAAAGCATCACGCACAAGCCACTTGATAGCTCATAAATAACCAAGAAAACCTGACACACACTGACATTTCACTCCCAGAGACTCTTACAAGTTAACCTTTTATCGGTTTTAAGGCAGCAAGTAAAGTCGTTTTATCCACATGCCAAAGGGGGGAAGGTCAGAGGGTGGGAGGGAATTGGCCACTGGAGCCCAGACAAAGCACGCTTCCCCCAAGTCCACGTCATCTCATCTCTCGGCCCCCAAGTATGATCTTAATGCACTGAGGTTCGAGAGCACGTCCCCTTGCCTCACCCAGCAGAGTCTGCCGGGAGCACCTGCTGGTCCCAGGCCCCTGACTCGGCCAGCTCTGCCCTAGGCCAGGCTCTCCCAGGGGCAGATGACCTCCTTCTTGATGGCCTGGTCGCCCGAGGCTCCTGGCCCCGTGTCCTCCGCGTCCATCAGGTAGGTGCCACGCTCCACAGGCACATCCATTTTGATCTGGAAAAAGCTACAGACACAAGAGGAAAGCAAGTATGGGGAGTGCAGGGGGAACACCAAATGGAAAGAATCAGTAGACATGCACACCCAGAGACATATGTGTATACACACACACATGCACACACAGAGACATATGCACATATACTAGTATACACACATGCACACACCCAGAGATATGTACACACATATGCACACACAGCCATATGCACATATATGCACACACCCACATATACGTGTGCATATCCACATGCCCACAGGCATGTGTGCACACATACACACATGCACATACCCACAGGCATATGCACACATGCACATATGTGCACACCCACAGACATATGCACGCCATACACACATGCACATGCCCACAGACACATGCACACAAATGCACATGTGTACCAACAGACATGTGCTCACATACCCACACACATGCATACACATGCATAGCACCCCCCCACACTGGTTCTCACTTTGTCACTCTCCTGGATTTCAGCCGTGGCAGCTGCTGACCCACATCCCCTAGGGGCTGCACCTTCCCATGGGACACAGGGGGGCACTTGGGCGAGAGCCTGGCAAAGACGGGGGAGGCCAAACAGCCTCGTCTCAGAAAACTGCTGAAGGACACAGCCATGCGGGCCTTGAGAGGGGCCCTGGGCGGGGGCCGGGGCCAGGGGCAGTCGGCGGAGGCCTCGCTGGTGTCTGCATTGGAGGGTCCTGGGCCGGCACTGGACCCACCGGCCTCGCCCTTCTGCTCCGAGCCTTCCACAGCCACCGTGATGGGCGAGGGGCAGACGGTGCTGCTGGGCCTCCGCATGAAGCGGCCTGGCGAGGGGAAGGGCTTCCTGGGGGAGCGGCAGGAGGAGGAGAAGGGGCTGGAAGGAGAGGGGGGCACGCAAGTCCCCGTGTACACGGCCAGGTGGGGGCTGGGAGCAGTGTGCTGGCCAGGCTGCAGGGAAGGAAAGAGAGCTCAGAGTGAGTTGGGTGGCTGGTCGAAGGGCACAGGGGCTGCCCCCTGCTCACTCAGCCCCTGCCCGTGCCCAAAGCACAGGTCTGGAGTGGCTTCACCTGGGAAGTTGGGAAGGGCCCCCAAAGCCACCTGTGATGCTGGCACAGACACAGGCCTTCTGCCAAGCCCTGTCCTAAGCCCTGGCCATGGTCCCCAGACGGGGGCACTGCATCCCAAGGCACAGACTGGTCATCCTCCAGGCCTGGGATGCTGGGTGTGGCCGGGTGAATTTCCAACCCCCACTCAGGCCCAGTCCCCCAGTGAGCAATGCTTAGTACCTGCCAGACACCATCATCCCTTCTCTATCCTTGGTTCCCACCCTCAGGGCTGGAGGCATCGGAAACATTTTACTAGAGTGACAGAGGTGGCAGGAGAAGCCCCAGCTGGTGCCTGGCTGACTCTTCCAGGCCTGAGACCACCCACGCTGACCTGAACCCCTACCTGTGTCCACAGACACACCTGAGGGATGGATGGCTTGGACCCAGCACCTCCCCGTGCCTCCTGCGGGCAGAGCAGGTGGTTGGGGGGAAAGACTGTGTGGGGACCTGGACAAGCCAGGAGGAGGAGGCAGGCAATATGGGGCGGGGAGGCTACTCATTGGAGAAGTGCCTCAACCTCCCTGGTAGCACCGGGGCGGGAGGGCGGGTCAGGCGTGCTTCAGCCAAAGGAGCCTGAGAGAGCCTGTCTGAGCTGGAAAATTAAAATCGGAAAGTCCAGGGAGGCTCCCCTCTGTCCTCTCTTCCCTTCCCAGGGTCATGGGAGGGGTTTGCTGTGTCCCCTCCTGAAAGGACCTGAGGAGGTGCTGATGCATGTCGCATGTCGCCGTCCCATTGCCTGTGGGGTTTGGAGAGGACATGGGGTCCTGGAGAGTGAACTAAAACACCAAACCCACGAAGTAAGCCTTGTTAGGAGAAATAAAGACATCAAAGTGCTCTTCCGCTCTCAACTAACTGACTGAGGACACCCCACCTGGTCCATTCGCTTGAACCCTACTTACTCAGAATTAGTGATAACCTCCTGTTATAATCCCCACTTTACAGGTAAAAATACTGAGGCTGGTGGAGATGATGCAACTTGACCAAGATCACACAGCTTATGATAGGAGGAGCCCCCCCCCAAACTCCCCCCCCCCATTCTGTGCCCTCTCCCCCACCTCACTCCTTCCCCAGCTCCTTCTCTTTTCCAGGATGAAGGACAGTACAGGTAAGGAAGGTGGCCACTGTCCTGCTTCACTTCCCTGTCCTCTCAGGCCTGAGAAGGTCCTTCCTTCTGGGCCAATAGCCATTCGCCCAACTGGCCCTGGACACTCTAAGCAGGATGCCTTTCCTACCCCCACCTCCATGACCTTGGCCACTCCTCCCCCAGAGGCCTGGGGCTTGCACTTGGAGACCCAGCCCTTCCAGCCCACGCCACACCCTCCATTGGTGTGAAGCAGCAAAGCAGTGGCATGCAAGGCACATGGCGAAGAAATGAGACACACAGAGACGCAGTGAAGGTGAGCTTGGCTTGGTTTGGTTTTGTGCTGCTGTTTTATTATACAAGGGAACCCAGAGAAGTGGGGGAAGGAGCATGAAATGGGCAGGTGCGTTGACATGAGGACACAATCACAGGATTGAAATGAAAGGCAAAGCAGATGGTGCAAGAGGCGTGATTCATTTTCCATCCAGAAACTGGGTGAGAATTCCAATGAGAACTGTGCCACCTGAACTCCTACTTCCTGGGAGCAGGCAGGTGAGGAGAGGGCTGCATTCAGGTTGAGCACGCAGTGTGCACCATCAACCCCTCCAGTCCCTTCTCACTCGCCCTTTCCTCACCGTCCCCAAAAGCCAATGCGTAAAGTTGGCCCCAGGAAGGAAAAGCCACATGGGTGAGCACCTCCTCTCATCCTCAGCCCAGCACATTCCTTCGCATTTGGACCTTTACTTCGCCATGGAGCTCAGGGCCAAAGGACTGACCAGTCACTATACGATTGCTAGCCAGTCCTCTCACAGGAGCTGCAGGCAGAGGACAGGACACCAACACCCTAATCCCCTCCCCTTAAATACATCCTCATGGTCCCTAGAGAGCTGGGAGGGCTACCCCACAAGACTTTGAGAGAGAAGAGAAGAAAGATGGTTTGGGTATCCCTCAGGAAATGCCCTACATATTAAAAAATAACAAATCGCTGTATCAGACAACACTGGCAGGTATAAGAAAGCACACGCTTACTCTAAGACCATGAAGATACTAGGGATGGTGAGGAGGATGGTGATGATGATGATGAGGTGATGATAGTGACAGTGAGGATGATCATGATGGTACTGCTGCTGCTGGTGGTGATGATGAGGATGATGGTGATGATGATGCAGGTGATGGTGAGGATGCTGGTGATGGTAGGGATGATAGTAAGGATGGTGATGATGGTGGTGATGCTGATGGTTATAATTGTTGTGCTGATAACATCAGCAGCTAGCATTTATTGAGCACTTATTACATGCCAGGCATTGTCCTAAGCACCCTACTGATATTTTCTTGTCTCTGGCCCACCCACACTCAGTAATTGTAAGAACTAGCTCAACAGACATGTCTTAGCAGGGCCTTTCCAGGCAGGTGTGACAGAGGTGTGCAGTGACAAGCATCTATAGGGAAACCCTACCACTGGTCTCTTGGCAGGATCTCCAACTGCTTTAGAAGCGACGTTTAAATTGGAGAGATAAGATGGGATGAGGCGCTTCGCTAAGCTGTTTGAAACAAATGTGCCTGAAAGAGCTATGCCTGGGCTGAGTAGGGGACGGAGAGGCCTTCTCTTTAATTTTTCAAAGCAAATGGTGGAACACAAATCAGCCTGTATTCTCTATGGTTCTCACTACCAGGACCGCCTATGGTGAGATAGGTGGTCACACAGCAACTGAGTCAGGTGACCTCCCCCCACCACTGCCCCTTGGTTGTTGGGGTGAGAGAGCTAAGCTCGCGTTGCCGTGGTACTGGGAAGCCCACCATGAAGGAGGTCAGAGAAATATGGGCTGGACCTGTGTACCCCGCGGCCCCACTGATCGGGGATGGACTCTTCTAGACTCTGACCCTGCCTTTGCTTGCCTCTCCCACGCGCCTGCCCCCGCCACCCCCAGCAATGGCAAGTTTATTTAGGAGGCAGCTCTCTTTTGAGTTGGCTCCTACGGTCCAGCTTGCTCAGGACCTGGGTGATGTCCACCGTGTTGGCTGCTTCCCGAGCTTTGGCTTCCTCCTCCAGCTGCCTCAGGATGACGGGGCTCGGGCTGGAGCGCAGGTGACGCCGCATAAATGGGAGGCTGGAGCTGGAAGGAGGGACAGCGGGGTGGTTAGCAGAAAGCCACAGGCTTGCCCAACAATGGCCTCTCCACACCTGGCTTGGAGGTGGGGCTGGGAGGCCAGAACCGGACTTGTTCCTCATGCTCCTGGTGAACTTCAGGTGGGGCTCTCAGAGGTGTGTCCGACCTCAGCTCTTTTCCCTTAGAGCCTGGGCCCAGAATGGGTCCCAACTGCCATCCGATTTTAGGCTAGGCACAAGAGAGCCTGCCTTGATGGTGACAATTAGACACACCTACAATCTTTAGAAATCAACCTGTCATCTTAACTTCCGGCAGGCTCTTCCTGAAGGAGGGAGCGAGGAGGGTTTGGGTTCTTGCCTCAAGGGAGAGTTGGAGCATTTGTTTTCAAAAGCCAAGGCTCTGGGAAGGAGAAGAGCTGGGCTGGTTAAGAGGTCAGTGGGCCGAGAAAGGGGAAAGGGGCCTGAAGAGGGCTGGGGAGCTGTTGGCCTCATGCACGTGCACCCAGGGAGTCAGAACCTCCCACAGAGGTTAAACATGGATTCCTGGGACCAAACTCTCTTGACCATGGCCTTGGAAGAAGCCAGGACAACGCTCTGACTCATACGGAGGAGAGAGAGCAGCTAAGCCACCCACAGGCTTGGAAACAAGCATTTAGCTGCAAGGGTAGACTTAAACCCTAGGATGTCCCCAAATCTCTGGACTACAGGAGCCTGTAGAACTCTATCTCCCCTAGGGAGAAAGAGGGCTCCCCAACAGGAAGGCATGCCTGATAGTAAATCTCCCACCAGCCCTGCCAAGGGAAGGCGGAGAGCTCGATGTAATTTGCTCTAGAAAAATTAAGTTTTACACATCGTCTTATTCCTGCAAATCATGGAACGAACTCACACCCGCCATAATCCCACACAGTCACAGGCGGAGCTTCAATGTCACCAAAGCATTCCCACGCGTGTTCCCACCCACAGCAGCAGTAACAGCATCGCCCGGCTCCAACACAGCGCCTCGCGCTGTCCCTGGGGCCTGATGCCCTCCTGGCACCCGCACCCAGGAGGAGATCCCGCTGACTTCTCAGCGTGCCCCAGCTCACAGAGCCTCTGGAGAGAGCCGTGCGAGACTCCCCTCCTTCCCCACTACTTCCTGCAGGACTTGCGGAGCGATTATGGTCCTTTCTTGTGGCTTAAAGGAGAAGCTTTCAAATCCCCAGGGACCCTGAACTCCCTTCCTTCCCCGGGAAACCGAGAAGAATGGCACCACAGAGACCTCCTTTCTCTCCTTTTCATAACAGCGCCATTATCCTCCAGAATGAAACCGGGTTGGGCCTTTTTTTTTTTTTAAAGCTCCTTTGATAAAGGCTCCGGTCCAACCACCGTTCTTTTGAATTGACTGGAGATGCTGGATAGGAGCCCAGCGTGGGCTGAGCTGGCAAGCGGGAACATTTACTAACGCGGCGGGGACAGGTCATGCATCGGCGCTGGGAACGCCTCCGCCGAAGTCCTGCGTCTTTGGTTACTCTTTAGAATCTTCCATCCCCATCGATCGGAGATTTTCAGCCGGTGAGCTGCAGGGATGCTTAAAACATGCGATGCCGGGCTCTCTAGTCAGGGGCGCTGACCTCTTTTCCCTAAGGTTGTCGAATAAAAAATAACAACAGCCAACACAGCAATAGCTGTCCGGTGTGAATGCCCTGTCTTGAGCCATAAATATATAGGTCATATAACTGAGTTGCATTTTATATATATATACACACACACACACACACACACACATATATACACACACACACACACATATGTATGTATGTATGTATGTATGTATGTATGTATTTCAGAGAGGAATGGAGAGGGAGAAAGAGAGAGAAACCTCAATGATGAGAGAGAGTCATTGATTGGCTGCCTCCTGCACGTTCCAAACCAGGGATCGAGCCCACACCCTGGGTATGTGCCCTGACCGGGAATCCAACTGTGACCTCCTGGCTCATAGGTCGATGCTCAACCACTGAGCCACGCCAGCCAAGCACAGAGTTGCATCTTATTGGTCACGTTGCATAATCCAGTTGCATCTGACTGGTTAATTCTTGGTACCACAAATCCTTACATACAAGTAGAGGCACCTGATCACCTGATTTTTTTAAGTAATTTTGGAGCAAAAAGGGTAGGTGATTACTATTATTATTTTTTTGTAAATCAATCAAAATAATAACTTTTTTGTCAACTCGATAAAAAATATATTTTTGGTGTGCTGCAGAATTTTAGTAATTAGTTTATGTGTGCCATGAGATGACAAAGGTCAAAAATTGCTGCCATAGAGGTTCCTTTTTGCCAAAAGGAGAGCTCAAACTGCCCCCTCAGAACACGATTTCGTGCTTCGTGCCAGGGCTCTGCCAGCTGAGATGATCTGCATCTCCAGTGAGGAAGGGGTAGGGGAAGGTGCTGACTGACAGACACTGAAAGGGTCCCCAAGAATACTTGGAACGTCACTGTTCGTTTCCCCTAACCAACCATTTCTCTTGTGGTATATTCTGCTGTTCTCTATAAGGTCTTAGGACATTACAAGGATACAAAGATGTGGCTAAATGAATCCCCATACATTAGGAAGGTGGAGAAGTGTCGCAACTAAAAAACTGGCCCTTGCCAGTTTGACTCAGTGGATAGAGCATCAGCCTGCAGACTGAAGGGTCCCAGGTTCATTTCCGGTCATGGGCACATGCCCAGGTTGTGGGGCATGCAGGAGGCAGCCAATCAATGATTCTCTCACATCATGTATGTTTCTATCTCTCTCTCCTTCTCCCTTCCTCTCTGAAATCAATTATATATATATTAAAAAACCAATGAGTTACAAAAAATAAAAACAAAATTGTTTTAGTTTAAAAAACACCAATGAGCCGAAACCGGTTTGGCTCAGTGGATAGAGCGTCAGCCTGCGGACTGAAAGGTCCCAGGTTCGATTCCGGTCAAGGGCATGTACCTGGGTTGCAGGCATATCCCCAGTAGGAGATGTGCAGGAGGCGGCTGATCGATGTTTCTCTCTCATCGATGTTTCTAACTCTCTATCTCTCTCCCTTCCTCTCTGTAAAAAATCAATAAAATATATTAAAAAAAATATTAAAAAAATAAAAAAAATAAATTAAAAAAAAACACCAATGAGTTGCTTCTGTCCTATATAATAAAAGCCTAATATGCAACTTGTCCCCTCAGGCGGCTGTTCGATTGGGAGTTTGACCACTCGCTATGACGTGCGCTGACCACCAGGGGGCGGTGCAAAACATGGCGGGTGTCAGCAACGCAGCACTGGCAGTGGGCAGCAGTGGAGGCGCTGCCGGGACCGATGGGCCCTGATGTGAGTGGGACCATGGCAGGATGGTGGAGCAGGTAAGTGGGAGGTGCCAGGCTAAGGCGGGGTGTCAGGTGGGGCTGCTGGCTGCAAGGCTCGGGGCGCAAGCTGGGGCTGCGAGGCTGGGGGCATGAGCTGGGGCCCGATCTCCTTAGGCCACCCCAAGGGACCCCACCCATGCACGAATTCGTGCACCGGCCCTCTAGTTTGTGATAAGTATAACTATAAGTCTGATAAGATTCTTTCAAACCAGCACAAGGGGAAGAAAACTCATTGGCAGTAATGACGAAGGAAATCTTGCTAGGATGATTTCAGGGCATTCTGAGGGCAATGAGGCAATCATACCTGGATACATACTTCCCAGTCCCCAATATTTCCATCAAAGAAACATCTCTCAACCATGGCCACTGGGCTGGAAGAGACCCTCGATTCTCTGTCAACAAGAACAGCAGGCAACCAGCAACCACAGGCCATTCCACTTGCCTTCTCTTGGTGGTTTCCTGAGGTTCAATAGCTTTGGCCAGCATTTCCTTATAGATGGGAGATTTCAAATAGCGAGCATAAGAATCCTAGAGGGAACGAGAGAAAAACAGTAATTACGAGAGGGAACATGTCAAATCAAATGAACACGCTTGCCATTTTCAAGCCCTCCCTCGGCAATTAGATGGCGAGGTTAAGAGCATGTGTCTCCTTGCGTGAAAGGCATTTATGCCCGTGTGTGTCCAAAGCAACGGATCTCAAGTGTGGTCCCGACCAGCAGCCCCGTGTTCACCTGGCAACGTGCTAGACGTGCACCTTCCCAGGCCCACCCCAGACCTACTGAACCAGAAGCTCTGGGGGTGGGATGACCTGAGTCTTCACAAGCCTCCAGCTGATTGGTCTGCACTTGAGGTTCGGTCATCGGAGTCTGTAGCCCCCTCCCAAAACCCACGTCCAGGCTCTTCAGCGAAGCAAGCTTGAGACAAGAGGACCCTGCAGCCAGCCTGCGCCACCCAATACCTCCTTCCAGTGGAGATGAGCAGCATGAGCATGGAGCCCACGCCGAAGCTGCCAACCTCCCCTTTCTGCCCTGAGTGTGGGTGTGAGGGCAAGAGAAACCCAAAGACCCAGGCTCAGACTCCTCCCGTGTGGCTAGTTCCTGGGACCCTTACAGGTTCAGAGCCGTCGCGTCATGAATGCTGGCTACTTCCAAGCACACTCCAAGCCAGTCTAGTCACAGCAAATACGGGGCAAAGCCCACAGCGACCACCAGGGATCGCGGATTCTCGCTATTTGTTGAAGGAGCGCCATTTCAAGGACTGAGTGGTGGCTCCCGGTTGTTCGTACGGAAAACAACATGCAGGTTATGATTATTGCAATCGCTTTATTATCTCTGTGTTTCGAGTACTCACAACTGTAACCTACACTTGCCCACCCCTGTATATATCATTATGAAGTTACCCAGGACTCTGTTTTGTTCTGGCTAGTAGCTGGCCTCTCTGGCTGTCTCCCTAAATTTTTTTTTTAAGAATCAAAATGTGTTTTTTTAAGAATCAAAATGTATTTTAAATTACACCAAGGAAGACCATCATTAAAGAAATCCCGCTGTAAGTCCTCTTATAAGGGAAGCACAGAAAAACCCGCTAATGAAAAAATGAATGGTGAAAAATGGCTAATCTGGCTTGGTAGAATATTTAAATTGTTCCATATTTTCAAAGCGAAGTAAAACCATTTCTTTCCAATGCAATAAGCACAAACGGCAAAGTAAAAGAAATATAATAAGGGAAACTAATAGAAAAATGATACTCACACAAACCTACATCATGTAACAAAGTTTCTAGAGATACTTTGCCATCGAAGGAATAATTGCTGTATGAGAAGTTGAAGCTACAGAAGGAAGTCTCGTTGGGCGTGGCACCCGGTTGGCAACCATACTAGACAACTCCTCGAAGGCTAAGCCTGAGCCCCAAATTCTAATTTCTTAAGAAAGTGATCGAAATAACATTGCAATAACTATGTGTGGTGCCAGGTGGGCACTGGAAATATCGGGGGACACTGTGTAAAGTTCATTATTATCTAACCATTACACTGTGCACCTGAAACTAATACAAAATATTGAATATAAACTATAATTGAAAAATAAAATTTAAAAGAACAAAAATACTAACTTTTAAACTTTAAAATAATAAAACAGTAATAGATACTGTGTAACTTTCATATCAAAGAATGGAAAGGGAAAGGAAATTTTTAAGTGATTGATTTTCTCTCAGGTGCCTGTTTCTTTTTTAAACAACGTCCTGCAAACTCCCATGTTCACTTTTTATTAGTAACCCAGAAGGCCGTCTGAATTCTCCCGGGGTTTTACCACCATCACACACACGAAACCCGCCTGTGGTGCATCTGCTCGGGCAGGGCCACCAGGACTGCCGCCACCCACGGGAGGGAGGAAGGGCTCAGCCTTGGGCTCCGAGGGTCGCAGCTTGAATCCGGGCTCCACCTCTGGGGGACCCCAGCAAACTGCTAGGCTCTGGAGAAGCCGTCCCCACCTCGTGGGTTGTCTTTGATGCAAAGTTCCTTGCTTTGCTGAGCGGACTGCGACTTGTAAGCCCTCAGGCATCTATGGGGGTCCTCCCAGCCAGCGAGCTTGGGGGCTGAAGGGGGTTCCAGCCCAGGGCACAGATGGAAGAGACAGCTTTTAGGGAGACAATGCCCGCAAAGCGGTAGCCACATGCCGTGTCCCTTGCCCCCCATATCTAAAGAACTCTCCAGGCACCTGGGAGGGAAGGGCTCCCTGCCCCATCCCCACACCCAGCATTATCAGCAAAGACCAACCTTCTTCATGAGCATGTAAATGTGGGTCTGCGCAGCGTCCAGCACGTAGCGGTGGGGGTGCCGCAGCCCCTTGACCGTGATGTCCATGGTTTTGCCATCAATGTTGATCCACCGCCTCGCACCTGGGGCCAGGAATAGCCTGGGGCGGGGAGGGAAATGTTAGCAAAAAGTAACTAAAACAAGTCGGTTAATAAAAAGTTCACAGCTGCCTGGCCATGTGGCTCAGTGGTTGAGCGTCGACCTATGAACCAGGAAGGTCACAGTTCGATTCCCAGTCAGGGCACATGCCTGGATTGCGGGCTAAATCCCCAGGGTGGGGCGTGCAGGAGGCAACTGATCAATAATTCTCTCTCATCATTGATGTTTCTATCTCTCTCTCCCTCTCCCTTTCTCTCTGAAATCAATATATATATGTATTGATTTTTTTTTTTTTTAATTCACAGCTGCTTGAGCGGGAGGGACGGATGTGACTCAGGTGTCCCGGGTTGGAAGGGGTCCCTTTTTAGGAGACAGGAAGCGTTTGAACAGGTTGCCAAGCAACATTTCTCAGAAGCAAGACAACAGCCATGCCAGTATTGGGAACGTGACTGATGACCGTTGGTGTCCCAGCATCTAGGAGGGCGCAGAAGTGGATGGAGCAACCCTAGCCATAAGGGCGAAGAGCCCAGCCTCCAACTTCACGCCTCTGCCTCCTTGTCCCCCAGATTCGGCGGAGCACCTCCACGCGGTGCCCCAGCGCCTCCGCTCCCCCACGGCCCCTTCTAGACCTGCCTGGAGCTGGATCCAAATGCTGGGCCAGGAGGCAGCCCAGGTACCCAGCACCCCGGGGTTTGAAGACCTGCACATCCTTGTCAGTGGCCCCATGAGAACTACATTCGGCCGCACATCCTGAGACCTGCATCCACTGGGATTTGGGAGCTCTCCCGTACCCCCATTCTGACGTGTTGAGGGTTAGGAATACTCATGTGGATACTGCGCCCCACCCCTACGCTGCACAGGGAAATTTTGGAATTCGGACTGAGATGACGTAAGTGGGGAGCCGGGGAGGAAGGAGGCTGATGTAAAGGGGGAGGCAGCAGGCTCCCTTGCAGATTTTTGGAATTAGGAGTGTGCGTGGGTCATAGTGTGCGAGGCAGTCACACACCATTGTCCTGGGGAAGGATGTCACCGGACCTTCCTGGACCGACAATCCACCCCCCCCCCCACCCCCCATCTCTCTTGGGTGCAGGGTGTCTCCCTGTGGGAGGAGGTGGGCAAACATTTGAAGGAGTAGAGGAGCCTCTCCGTAGAAGGCCTCAGCTCCCTCTTCACTGTCCTTCGCGCCTCTGAAAACTGGGATGGTCCGTTCTGCGTCCTTTCGAAGGAAGGTCACAGAGGTCTGGAGGGAGAAGCGCTCAGAGGCGAAGGCCATCTGGCCTGCCCCCTCGCGGCCGCAGACGGCTGGTTCCAGCCCAGCGTGGTGGCTTTGCTTTGGCAACCACGGCTGAGCTGAGCGTGTGTGAATAGGAACAAAATGCCCTGGGCCCTCAGAGCCCAAGACAGGTGTCCGCTAAGGCCAGTGCAGGGGGGACTGGCCAGGATGTGACCACAGCGAGACACCAGCACCCGGGCCGGGGGAGGAGGGAGGGTGCAGATGTCGGCAGCTGTGCCCCGTGGCCGTGCTGGTGGTCTCACGGCCCCCTTCCCTCTCCACCTGAAGGGACGCCCTTAGCCGCTGGGGAATTTGGAGGGGAATTCGGAGGAGAGGCAGGCCGGTGGAGGGACAGACTTATCGCTACACTCAGCAAGTGAGGGGAGAGCCGGTAACTGCAACATAAGCATTGTGCCACAGCTGTATCCCAGGCTGGGCTCACAGTCCTGGACACTTGGGGGACCTCCCTTCCCTAAGATGGCCTGAGGAATAGGTTTTCCCACCTCACCTATTCTCTCTCTCTCTCTCTCTCTCTCTCTCTCTCTCTCTCTCTCTCTCTCTCTCACCTGCCCACACCTGTCTCTCAGGAGCCCTAAGGGGGTTTAGACAAAGCGCTGTAATTGAGGGTGGCTTGCCTCTTTAACTCCTAAGTAAGCACCTTCCCCCAGGATCAGGGGGATCCTGCCACAGTGGCAGTGAGCTATGTATAGCACGGCAGGTGCAGGACTGAGCTGCTGACACCAGGGGTGTGCGATGGGAGAGGGGGGGCTCTCCTCAAGGTGGCTAATCCTCACTTGTAAATCTCCTCCGCTTTCTCCTTGACCTTGGACTGATCTCCGTACTTCAGATCCTCGCAGGCTTCCCAGAATCCCAGATTCTCTCCTGCACAGGGAGACAAAAGCCAGACAGGAAACCAGCGGGGAGAAGAAAAGAGAAGAAACAGGTCAGCCAGGATAGATTCGGCTCCCGGCGGTGAGCATCTTCCTTCCGCACAAGCCCGGGCGCCTGTGGGGCTGGACAAAACAATGAGCAGCCACGCCGACCCCAGGGCCCGGGACCTCGTTAGCCTATGGCTGCTGCACACGTGTCTTTGACAGGAGCCTGATGGGCGTTGCCATGCTCGCAGCTGTGCGTGTCTGCTGTGATCACTGTTCTGTCCCCAAGGACACAAGCTCAGCTCACACCCAGAGGCTGCCGTGGTCTCTGCCCTGGAAGTTAGTGGTAGCAAATATGCTTGAACAAGGCCACACATGACTGGGCTGTAAACATGCATTGCTACGTGATAGGGCCCCGTCTACAAAATGTGGTATATCCACGCAATGAAATATTATTCATTCGTGAAAAGGAATGAGGCACTGAAATGTGCTATAACATGGGTGAACCTTGAAAACACTGTACTAAGTGAAAGAAGACAAAAGGACACATGCTTTATGATTCTGTTTATATGAAATGTCCAAAATAGGCAAATCCAAGATGATAGAAAGCAGGTGAGTGGTTGCCTAGGGCTGGGGGCAGGGGGGACGTGCAGAGCGGAGGAAGGGAGAAGAACAGGACATTTCTAATGGTTTCTCTTAGAGGTGGTGGAAGTGTTCTAGAATTATACACTGGTAATGGGTGCACAACTTTGTGAATAAACTAAAACCACTGAATTGTACTCTTTAAAAGGCTATGTGGACTATGGCATGTGAGTTATATGCCATGTGAATTTATGGTATGTGAATTAGATCTCAATTTTATGATTTTTCAATTAAATGAGAAAACTGATGATTCATTGTTGAGGAATGCCATGAGGAGATCACCAATAGTGCTATTTTGATAATGCAGGGAAATCTTTTCCACGGATTTTGTTACTAAGTAATGCATGGGTAGGGGAGGCTCGGGGTGTGGTTTGTAACTTTGCCACTAGATGGCACCCTATCCACTCACTGGACAGTTGCTTCTGTCTGGTGCTGAAAGCACTCCTCTTCCCCATCCATCTACAGTGGGTTTTCTTATATCATGGCAATTAGGCTGGACCCGAGAGGGGATTTTCAAGAATCCATATGATAATGTAATGTGTTGCATCGAACAGGCTAATGGCATGTCCCTCGAGGTTACAGACAGGTGGGCCTTGGGGAATAAGCTGCTGAATGTTGAGGCTAAAATGTGGTGTTCCCCAGAGCTGGGGACTTTGTAAGGAAGTAAATGAACCCCATAAAAATAAATATTTCAGCCCTGGCGGCGTGGCTCAGTTGGTTGGGCATCCTCCCATGAGAAAGGTTGCTGGTTCGATTCCTGGTCAGGGCACATCCACAGGCACATCCCCAGTAGGGGGCATGCAGGAGGCATTGGATCAATGTTTCACTCTCATCTCTCTCTCTCTCTCTCTCCCTCTCTCTCTCTCTCTCTCTCTCTTCCCCCTCTAAAAAAAAAATCAATAAAAGTATTTTTTATAAAAGTAAATGTTTCCGTATAAGTGTGGGAGTCAATGGAATGCTCAGCCTGGTGAAATCGGCTCTGACCTGACCTATGACTCCCCAGAGCTTTCTCGGTGCTGTATATTTAAGAAGTTGCAAGTGTCTACCTTGTGAGACATCCAGAGATGGGATCGATCTAGAATGTGGCCGCACCCGTGCCATTAAAATCCGCACCCTCCTGAGCCCCTGATGGAAGCAGCGCTGGAGAGCGGCTATCCATTATGGCCACATATTAGGATCACCTGGGGAGTTTTCAAACCTTGGGAAACTCCACCCCAAATCAATTAAAAAGGAACCTCTGGATGGGACCCAGGCGAGCCGTCTAAACTATCCCCAGGTGACTCGAATGTGCCGCCAGGGTCGAGAAGTGCTGAGCTGAAGGACATCAGGCTGGGAAACAACAAGGGAAACTTGCTGTCGGCCTCCCTCCTCGTCCGCTTTTCCCAGGAGCTGCACGGAGCGCCAGGCCCACGGGAGCTGGTGACCCCAGGATCAGGGTAAGGAATGGGGCGGCCAGCAGGGAGGGGGAGCTTGAAAATGTGAATAACATTCATGTGAGCGAATGAAACTCCCCCCCCCTCCCAACAGTGAGGCCCCTTGGGATCCCTGTGCTAGACCCGACAGGAGTGCTTCTAAACGTTAAATCTTTTTTTTTTTTAATCAAAGACCCACCACTGAATTCTTTCTTGAGAAAGTACTGGAAGCTCTGGCGCCCCTTGGGGTCTCGAATCAATTCACTGAAGTTGATGGCCCACCGTTCCACACGCATCTTGGTTGGGATTTCCACCCTGCAGGGAGGACACGGTATAAATGCCCCGGACACGCCGTGGGAGGGGGGCTGTGCCAGGCGGCGGCCTGGACTGGGGTGAGGGCTTTAGCTCCCTCCATCAGTCCCCCGGCCCGGAGCTCCACACGGTCCCCCCACCCTCATTTCTGCACAAATGTACAACCCAAACAATCACTTGTTAGGGAAAAGCATCCTCAGACAGGGCCCCTGGGCCTCCTAGCAGGACCTGGAAGCCCAAAGGGGAGAAGGACCACCACAGCTCTTAGACTTCGGGCGAAAGAACAGGAAGGCCTGCGCCAGGGCCTGTGGAGGTCAGCCCGCAGAAGGCCAGGCTGCACGCCGGGCCGGGGGGAATTCCCGAACAGCACTGCATTGGGTGCCATGGCCACTGCCACCCCCTCGATGGCTGTCACCCACTGCACAGCTGGCCCTTTACCATGCTCCTCCTGTCTCAGGCCACACGCCCCCAGTGGACCCCAGTGCCATCTCTGCACCTCTCTCGGGCTTCCTCTAAGATGCAAGTCCCATTCCGCTCGGTGTTTTAAAAGGTCTCCTTCCCTTCCCTCTCAGGACAACGCTTTTCCTGGCTGGGTGGCCTTGCCCTCTCCTCCCTGGAGACCGAATGCCACCCATCCTTGTCCACAAGGAGATGCAGGCTGCCTCTCCTGTCTGATAACTGGGAGACAGGCACAGACTCCAGAAAACCACCCTAATGACCAGAGCCCCCAGTGGGGGAGGGAAGACTCCCCCAGGAGGTGATTCTAGAGTCTTCTGCTCTGCAACTGACACCCCAAACTCAGATGAGTGCCCTCCTTAACCATCAGCTGCCCAGGGCAGGCTACCTGGGCCAGGTGAAAGGCTCTCCAGTTGTGCCTGCTTACCTGGCTGCATCTGGGCTACCTGTATCCTCCCCATACAGGTGTGATGGCCTTGGCATTGGTGTAAGCTTGGTCTTATACTCCTACCAGCGCCCCCTCCCTACTCCTCCACCTCCGCCTTCCCCTCTGACTTGACACTTACGCCCCTATCTTCTTCCTTTGCTGGCTTACCCTCTCCCCTGCATTACTGCCTTTGCCCCTCTTCCAACAACCAGATCACGCAGGCACAGCGAGCAGCAACAACCATGCAAAATGCACAGCCAGCCCGGCTGGCGTGGCTCAGTGGTTGAGCGTCGACCTATGAACCAGGAAGTCACTGTTTAATTCTCGGTCAAGGCACATGTCCGGGTTGTGGGCTCAATCCCCAGTGGAGGGTGTGTAGGAGGCAGCCAATCCATGACTCGCTTTCATCAATGTTTCTATCTCTCTCTCTCCCCCTCTCCCTTCCTCTCTGAAATCAATAAAAATATTTTTTAAATAATAAATTTTGAAAATGAAATGCACAGGCAGAGCTAAGGAGTGGGCAGCATAATCACCAGGGCAGCGTTAGGGCCCTGCCCTCCAGGAACTTAGCCTGACACTAATTAGACACCCAAGACACAAAGCCATAAAGATAATTGTCTTCTTTTCAAAAACAATATGTTGTTCATCGCAGTTACCATTTGACCCAGCAGCTCCACTCCTAGGTATACACCCACGAGACACGAAAACATGTTCACACAAAAATCTGAACAGGGATGATCACAACCGCATTACTCATAATAGCGAAAAGGCAGAGGCAACCCAAATGTCCATCCACTGATGAATGGAAAACCAAAATGTGGTCTAGCCTTAGAGTGAATATTATTCAGCCATAGAAAGGGGCTGAGTACTAATACGTGCAGGATGCCAAGTGAAAAAGCTAATCACAAAAGACCACATGGAATAGGGTCCTGCGTATGCGAAGTGTCCAGAATCAGCAAACCCACCGAGACAGGCAGCTGTTTAGTGGCTGCCGGGAGCTGGAGGAATATTGGTTGGGGGTGGGGAGAGGAAATAGCCAAAGGGTATGAGAGTGCGGCTTCTGTTTTGGGTGATGAAAGTGGTTTAAAATTGCTTGTGGTGATGGCTGTACAACTCCATGAATATAGTGAAAGAAAAGATTGAATTGTACACTTCAAATGGGTGGATGAATTGAATAAGTCAAAAAGCTACGTTTAAAAAAACCAACATATCCAATACATACAATTTGGCATTTAAATCCCAGAACTGGGTGTCATCTGTTATCCAAGGATTGCTAGGGAGGCAGCCTGACATGATGGCGTCATTGGACGAAAACTGCTCACTGTATTTGACGATCCTGCAAAGCAAATGGAAAAGGTTTCCTAGGAGTTCAACACGCAAGAGACTAAATCCATGCTCGGGGTGCCTGGCCAGCCTGGCCTCCTTTTCTTATCGATTTGGTTGCCTACTTATTACTGTCTTCTCGGGGAAATGTTCTAACAGCACTCAGATTAGCAGGCATTTGACGAAAATCTGTCCCCATTCTACTTGTGAAATGAGGTGCTGTCTCCCAACCCAGGCCCTTTTTAATTTCTCTGTAAACAGATTTCATAAAAAATGTAGGCTCATGACATTGTATCTTGACAAGAAACCCTTTGTGTGTCTCAGATAATGTCCTACGAGGGACTGGGTCAGGGTAGCCTGAACGTTCAACAAACCAAACCTAAATTTCCAATGTGTCCTGATTGGATTTTAGATCCAAGGTGAACCATGGACACTTAATAGGACACGGACTCAGTGAGCACAGTCCACCTTTCCCTCGTTAGTTTGAAAGGGTGATGCTAGGAACGCAGGCTATCATGGATCCCGCAGGGTCCAGTCCATGAGCTCTCCCCACCTTCCCACACACAAAAGAGATGACAGGCTTGTACAGAACCTCACCCACCCTGATTTTGCCGAACCCAAGATGAGACCTGGACACTTGCACCGAGTGGACCACCAGTAACTTAACCCCCCAGAGAGCGCTCTTGTCCTGCAGAGTTCATTAGGATCGTAAGTCAGTCTATGACCTCTCCAGTTTGCCTTAAAGCAAAAGTTCTCTTCTTGCCTATCTGCTGTTCAAACCTCAGCAAGACCAACAAAATAGGAACATACCCTCCAAGGGACACCGAAGACTTCACTGTGGACCTCATTAAGGCCTGTTGGTAATACATGATCTGGAAGAGACACGGTCATTAGAAGATGTCCAACTGCCCCACCCTTGGGTGTCACTACACTAATATTCACAGAGGACCTCCAGAACTAGACACCCTATACCCATCACGGCATCCCATTCCACCCCTCAAGCCAGACACCTCAGTACCCACAGGGTTCAGGCCCACAGTAGATGGGTGATCCCAAACTTCAAATTAGGGGCCTCCTTTACCCATCATGTGTTGGTCTTAGAAGAGGCATCAACTGGGGTGTGTGTGTGGGGGGGGGGGGGAGTTCTAAGAAGCATTAAGCCAAGCTATGGGGACAGATGGTTAACCAAGCGGCTCTAACCTCAATGGCCAACTATTACCAGGGCTCTGTCTTGGGCCCTGGATACAAAATATGTCAAAATAGGCAATGAGCCACCCTGGGCAAATTCTGAACAGCCTTGTAATCATAGGGCCAGGGACCAGGGTGGGGATGCAGGCCCTTCAGCATTTGATAGGTGCCTCGGACAGTGTCTCCGAACCCGAGTCCAGCATCAGCCCCATTCAGATCTCACAGAAGATGCTTTGCCATTCTGTGCTGTCCATTCATTTGTAAACAGTCCTCTGAACGTTACACGTGGCTTTCATTTCATTGCCAAGTGCAGAGCCTCAAGCCCAAGTACGTGTAATGCGTTGGAGGATTTAAGATCAAACATCCCTGGAACTGGGAGGCGAATTACCTCTTTTTTGACAGCAGTGATTGTTTGTTTCTGTAAAACAAAGAAGCCAGAGCCATTAAACAGATGCCATGAAATCATCACAGTTCAAAGGCCCATTTGGAAAATAAAAACACACTCCCCATGAGAAAACTGTCCTTCTTCTCTTAGAAGACAGAATTTCCCCCTCACCACCACCTCCACCCTATGCTAGGCAACTACTGGAGAATTGGATCAACTAAGAGGCTTGGTGAAGGGAGGGGTAGGATTTACCACTGTGACTTGACCCTGCTCTTGACCCTAAAGCCAAGATGCAGGAAAGACTGAGTTTGCGATTGGTCCCCATCTACTGTCGGGCCTACCCAACCACCTGAAATGGAATGGGGAACCAACCGGTTTAAGTGTCTGTTTCTCCTCTCACAGAACAGAGAGAGCTGAATGAATGGTGAGGCTTGTTCCTGATGCCTTCATAACAGCTTCACCAATGCCACAGTGGGGGACAGGGATCACACTGGGGCCCTGCCGGTGAGGCTCAGTGGTTGAGCGTTAACCTATGAACTAGAAGAACAGGGTTCAATTCCTGGTCAGGGCACATACCTGGGTTGTGGGCTTGATCCCCAGTGTGGGATGTGCAGGAGGCATCCAATCATTCTCACTCATCATGGATGTTTCTATCTCTCTCTCCCTCTCCCTTCCTCTCTGAAATCAATTTTATATATATACTAGAGGCCCGGTGCATGAAATTCATGCATGGGTAGGATCCCTTGGCTTGGCTGGTGATCAGGGCCAATCTGTGGGGTGACCAGCGGGGTGATCAGGAGGTAATTGGGGGGGGGGGGAAGGGGGGGGGTAGCGGCACTGATCTGCTCACTGGCTGGCCCCAACCCCCGATCACCCTACTGCCTGTCACTTCTCTCTGCAGGAGGCGACTGGTGGGGTGATCGGGGGAGTGGGAGGGAGCTCCGGACGGCACCCACCTTGGCTGGCCTGGGGCCTGCAGGCTGGGGGCAACTCCTGCATTGAGCATCTGCCCCCTGGTGGTCAGTGAGCATTATAGGGACCAGCTGTTCCACTGTTCTGCCTTTCAGTTGATTTGCATATTAGGCTTTTATTATATAGGATATTTTAAATGGCCAAGGAGGATACTATTTTCCTCAGCCAGTTAATAATAAAATAACCAATGGCCCATGAGCCCACTGACAACGGCTTATGGGCCAGGAGGTTCCCATCTAGGATGGCATGTACATGTCTCCCCTTTCCAATCCTTGCCGGGTTTTATTTTGCTTCATCAGATTGCTTTTAGGTACTTGCTTTTCACAGGAAATCCTTCTCCCGGGTGGGGAAGTGGGGCGAGGTATCTCAGGAGGGTAAAGCTCAGGTAGGTCCCTTGTTGGGGCCTCCCACACACCCTGACTTCTTCATAGCCTTTATCACAATTCATGATGTATGTCCCTGTGTGACTCTCTAATATACATATCATCCACTAGGCACCATTAGAAGCAGGACGGCCCTGCCAGTCTTCCCTAGCGTAGTATCTGGTGCAGAGTAGATGCTCAATCGATATTAAATATATGAAGGCTGCCGTGTGCTGAGGCCTGAAATAAAAATGGAGATGTATTCTAAACTTGAGAGAACATTTCTCCACTTAAAAAGTTGATCCAAATATTTTGGCAACCACACTGATTCTTTGTTCCCAGTTTGTCTCCACATTAGGCCCTGTTTTAGAAGACACACACTTCTGGGAGGAAAGGACCCTGGGGCCATGGCAGATTTGCATGCAAACCTAATGTAATCAGATTCTTCTGTCCGAGTCTGCTGAAATGGATTCAAAATAGTACGGACTGGCCTCTGGCCTCTGCTCAAAGGGGAAGCTGGACTGGTGCCTAACCACCACCACCTAGCAACTAGTGCAAAGCCATTTGCACCTCGTGGAGCCCTGACACCTACGTAAGGGAGCGAGGTTTTATTATTCCGATATTCAGCTCTGAGACTGGAATAGGTTATGGGCAACTTTGTCCACAACTCCTGGTCAGTAAGTGGCCGAGCCAAGATTCGAACCCAGCTCTGCCTTTTGCGAAGCTGAGGAGGGATCCATGAGAAACAGAAAATAGCCTGCTCCTCACTCCGGTCTCCTCCTTGCCCTGACGCTGAGGACGATGCCAAATAGAATGACTCTGTCCAGCCATATCAAGTAAAATTAAAACAAAAAAGAGAGCTGGAGCCCCAACACTGAGTGAGATGGAACACAAACACAGGAAACGCTCTTTCATTCACGCTCGTGGAGGTAAAACAAACTCCCGGCACTGAGATAAATAAGATCTGGGCACCCGGTGCACAGCATGGTGACTGTAATTAGCGATACTGCAGTCCAGGCCTGGAAGCTGTTGAGAGAGTAGCTCTTAAATGCTACCAACACACACACACAAAATTGTAATTATGCGAGGGGGTAGAGGTAGGTGTTCACGAACCTTATTGTGGTCATGTTTTGCAATATAGACATGTCTCTAATCATCACTTCAACTGACATATGTTACATGTCAATATCTCAGTAGAGCTGGGAGCAGCAGAGATAGTAATGATGGTAAAGGCCTGCGCTCAGCAGCCAGCATCTTAAACACCCTCCTTCAAAGTGCCTGGGACCCAAGATCAAACTTCCTGTCGGCCACCGTTCTGCGGCCACAGGGCTCCTGCGTGGACCATCACAGACAAGTCTGCCTGCTGTTCTCCAGGCTCCACGGGGCCTGTCCTTTCGGGCATGTCTACTCTACCTAGCATTGTCTGACTTTGGCCTCAAATGCTTGTTTCTGAGGCCATTATCTCAGTCTTCAGGGCTCAACATGTTCCATAGGCTAATGCACTTCATTGGCTTTTATTACCCTTTTAGGGCCCTGCCTCGGTGGTGCGGTTCGCTGTCGGGTTTCGGATTCCCGGAATGACCAGCTACCTTCTGGGAATCAGACTGCAGCGAGCTCTCTAATCATAAGATACAGCTGCATCTGGGGTTTCCCCACCTCCACCTGGAGTGGGCACGTGGATTTTAGCATTTATTTCTAGCTTTAAAGACAGCTGTCCATAGGCCCGGCTGCCTCTAGATCAGTGGTTCTCAACCTGTGGGGGTCGCCACCCCTTTGGCGGTCGAATGACCCTTTCACAGGGGTCACCTAAGACCATCCTGCATATCAGATATTTACATGACGATTCATAACAGTAGCAACATGACAGTTATGAAGTAGCAACGAAAATAATTTTATGGTTGGGTCACAACATGAGGAACTGTATTTAAAGGGCCAGAAGGTTGAGAACCACTGCTCTAGATTGACACAGGGCATCTCTGTCCTTCTAGGGGTGTGAGGGTGTATGGGGGTGAACATTCTGGACGCCTCTAAAGACCAAGAGAAAATCTGATGGGAAGGCGGGTAGAAGAAAGACTGTAGACGTGGACATCAAACCAAGGCCAAAATCCTGGTTCTGTGGTTTATTGGCTACATGACTTTGGATGCGTTTTTCAGCATTTCAAAGCCTCTGCTTTCTCCTTGGTAAAAGGAGATAGAAAAGGAAGGGATTAAGTGAGACAATAGACAGGCAACTGTGGCCAGTGACTTAGGGCTTACAGGCTGCTGCTGAGAACACACGTGGCATGGCTTTGGCCCTACTTACAAGATAAAATACAGGACGCCCCTGCAATATTTGGTACACACTACAAAAGTTATTTGTTGTTTACCTGGAATTCAAAAGTAACTGGCCATCCTACATTTTTATTTGCCAAACCTCATAAACCTATCAAAATTATTACTTAGCCAAAGGCCATAAGAAACATTCATTTTAAATAAAATGAAGTTATTAAAAAATACACACACACATACTTGTAAGCAATTCGAGGTAAACCACCTCCTGATAAAATAATAACATTTTTTGACTCTGGAATTCACGCACAGATCCCCTGCCTTCCCGGAGTCGGCCCTCCTGGGCGGGGGTCATTTCTCTATTCCTCACCCGGGCGACACACTCTGCACAGGGAGATACGCTGTCTAAGGAATCTCCAAACGCCCTGCATTCTTGGGATTCTCGCTTATTATTTTCCGCTTGCAGATTTGCCCAAATAGGGACAGGACCAGAGCTTATGTACACAGCTCCGCGGCCCACTCCTTGGCCTTGAGCGCCGGATGCGGGATGAGGGCTGCAGACAATAATCCCAGGGCAGCAGGGGTCAGGGCCCTGACCTGCGAGGCCCTCGGGCCACTGTGCCCAGAAGTGCAGGAGCCCAGAACAGGGACAAGCCAGGACCCTGGGATCAGGCAGCCAGGCAGGGATCTGCCAGAACAAGAGGTAAGGGGGGGGAGGGGGGGGCAGCACAGAGCAAAACACAAGACGGGGAGAGGCCTGAGGAATCAGGGTAGGCAAGCTTTGAGAGCAGGGAATCGAAAGTCAGGAACCAGGAAATTCAGAACTGTCGCGGTGAATGCAAAGCAGAAGAGAGGAGACAGGAGGCAGGCAGCTAGCTATGCTGGGAGACACTCCACACTCCCACCACCCCCTCCCTCAGGGCAGGTAAACCCCGGAAAACAGGGAACACTGAGTCAAACTGGGGAAATGTTGCAGACAGATAAAACCCAGCAGCAGCCTCTATTTCCCTAACTGCTGATCGGGCACCCGCTGGGGCTGGCTGAGGGGACAGGCAGGAGGGCTCCCGCCTACGTGAGAATTCTTAATTCTTCTTAATTCTCCACAAAGGCCAGAGTGCAGACAGGAGAAAGGGAGCTGGTGAGAGAGAGAGAGAGAGAGAGAGAGAGAGAGAGAGAGAGAGAGAGAGAGAGAGAGAGAGAGAGAGAGAAGGCAATGGTGAACGAAAGTAAAAGCAGCCCTGTGTCAAACATCAGCAGGCAGACACAGCCCTTTGCCGCACACACTCTGACCCAGGCGGCCGGAAATGCCAGCATCTGGCAAGAAATGGGCTTTGAAAGCGGAGGGCGCCCTCTCCTTCGAGCCTGGCCAGGGCGCTGTGCTTGCCACCTCTGCCCTCCCCACCTCCACCACAAGGTTTCCACAGCTGCCAGCTACCCGTAAAATATAAAAACACAAAAAGCACATCTTCCAGCCAGGTTCAGTATTTGCCTTGATGATTCTGTTTCCGTGGCAACCAAGCGACAAGGCCTCAGCAATTCTCTGTCATCTGACGAGGGGAACGTGGAAAAGGCCGCTGAAGGCTGACAGTGCCATACATGTATCAAAGGAAGGGTCACTTTGAGTTGTGGACAAGGGACTTAGCCACCCCACCCAACCCAGTGATACCCTCTGGGGACACGGAATCTCTCTCCAGATGGACTCCATCCCTGTGCGTCTGCCTAACGCACTGGTTGGAGGTCCCCATGGCCATTGTGAGTTCTGGGTCCCAGCGGGCAAAGGTATACATGTCACAGCTGCCTCGTGACCTCCTTGTTCCTGCTTCTTTTTCTTTCCCCATTGACTTTCTTCTCTCTCCTGGCTCCCACTCAGGCCTTAAGGCAATACCAAAGCTTAGAGATGACACACTAGGCTAAAGAGGTCACTGAACCCTTGCTGCCCAAAGACAACGTTAGACAGAAATCAAAGAAACCATCTCAAACTAGTTGCACTGGGGTTTAGGCTGGTTTACTGGGATCAGTGGTTCTCATCCACGATAATTTTGTTCCCCAGGGTGCATGGGACAATGTCTGGAAACATCCATGATGGTCAGGCATGGGAGGTGGGCAGAGAAAGGCACAATGCTCATGGCATCCAGTGGGTAGAGGCCAGAATATGCTAAACATCCTACACTGCACAGGACAGCTCAAAACAGTAGTGCCATGGTTGAGAAACCCTGCCCAGAATGCTCACTGTTTCAACAGCTTACGAATTGCATTTCTTTAAATAAGAAACCATCATAGGAAATTGGCCATCCATCATAAATAGTAGTTGTATTGGGAAAAGAGTCCTTTTAAAACAAAAGCTTAGGAGAATCTTTGCAAAGATCCCACCCTATTGAGATGCAAAAAAAAAAAAAAAAAAAAAAAAAAAGTGTGACATTCCAGGTCCTGTCCAGGATGAGGGTTTAAACCCAAAGTTGACTCAAGGGTTTTAAGCCTGGGGCCTATAAGCTCCAGGGAGTCCGGAACTGGCTGAAATTGTATGCAAATGTCTAGGAGTCTTTAGGCAGAATGCTTTCATAACTTTCATCAGATTTTCAAAGGAAGAAGTGATTCCGAAATATCTGTAAGCCAGCCGTCTGGATCCCATTGGCTCCAACCTTCACTCTAGATCTCTTGTCTTTCTTTATGCAGGGCCCTTCCCATGGCCTCCCCGCCCCCAACACTGATGTCACAGAGCCCACCCATAGTCCTCCTCTCTTAGGCACTCTCAAAGGGGAGATATCACTGCCCCAGCAGACACAGCTAGACAATAGACAGATGGACATCTTCCCAGACTAAGACCCTGACCTAGGCCCTGCCCACCCTACCAGCAGTATGCAGCAGAGACCTACCTGGTTTACCTGAACTTCATTCGGATTGGTCACTCGGTCCAGGCCATAGTCCAGCACGTTGTTCATTCCTGGCTGGATGGAATAAAAATAACATAAGGACCACTGCTGGAAGAGTCCAGTTTCTAATTAACTTTGGGTCTTGGCCAAGCTGCCAATTGTGACAGTGAGCTGCGAAGGGCTTGCAGCCTAGCCCACAGGGAGCTACGAGGGTGTGTAAGAAGAGTTTCATAAGTTGTTCCACCACCACAGCATCCCCAGAACCTAACACAGTGGGATGGGGAGATACATGCGTGCACTGATGGACGGGTGGGTGGGTAAATGGGTAATGGGTAGATGAATGGGTGGATGGATGGATGGGTAGATAGGTGGGTAGGTGCATGGATGTATAGAGGGAGGGATGGGTCAGTAGGTGGGTAATGGTGGATAGATGTGTGGATGAATGCTCTGGTGAGTATGTGGGTAGATGGGTGGTTGCATGGATGGATGAATAAATGGGTAAGTAGATGGATGATGGATGGGTGGGTGGGTGGATAGATGAATTGATGTTCAAATAACACTCAACTTCAGCAAGAGCTCACTGAGATTAGCACATGGGACTCCCGACTCCTCCCCGGTGCTCCTTCCCTACCCACAATGCAGAGCTTTAGAGAGTCCAGGCTTCAGCCGGGCACCTCTGGGATCTAATCCTAGTCCTGCCATTTCCTCTCTCCGAGGAAGGCCTTGGAAAGTACTGTCCGCACACACTTCCTTTCTGAGAAATGGAGATGCTCCTCCTTCCTGCCAGGTTCTTGTGAGGACTTAACAAGGTGGAGTGTGAAGCTCTCTCAGCAGAGGGCCGCTATTACTGAGCAAGGGATCGTGTTCCTTCCAAGACTGTGTGTGTAAATAGAGGCCTGGCCCAGAGCTGGGTCTCAATCTTGGTCAGTTCCCTTCTCGATCAGGCCACCCGCTCTCCAGCCAATCTTGCCTGGTCTCTCTCGATTCTCTGAGGCCAGCAGTTCGGACCTTGCACTCTCCTCTGTGCTGCTTTGGTGCCAGGCACCCATCAAGTTCTCTTGTGATTAACGAGGGTGACTTCACTGGAGCAGAGACGGGAAGCAACTGGGCTTTCTCCCCATCAGATTCAGCCTCATCAACAGGATCAGTCACATTTTTAGCTCAGAAGTATGGTGGCCAAATAAACTTTAGGACGCCCTGTTCAGTTTGCATTTCAGATAAATAGCACATAGTTTGACTATATCATTTTGCATAAAAATATATTCCATATGTGTTTAGTAGAAGCATACAATAAGTATCAAAATATTGGGACATACATCATTTGCTGTTTATCTGAAATTCAAGTTTAACTGGGCATAATGGATTTTATTTGCTAAATCTGGCAACTTAGCTCAGCAGGCTACCATGCGGGCAGATGCTGGGCATACCGCCTAGGCAGGGAAGAGAAAGAGAAGTAGGAAGTGGGCGGGAGGAGGACAAGGAAAGGGATGGCCGTCCTCACCCTAGTTCTTGTTACATGTGGACCTCAGTCAACAAATTTAGCAGCTACTTCCTGTGGCTGGCATTGTGCTCAGTCCTGGGGAGCCGTGGTGCATGCGACAGGGACCCCTGCCTCCAACATCCCCAGCAGGTCTCAGGAGGAGGCAGCCACTCAGCAATTAATCACACAAATGATGAACTACAGTTATAACAAGTGCTATGAAGGGAGAGTACAGAAGTCCAAGCCAGCCTTCAATGGGCCCTAACCCAGCATAGGGGTGTGGGGGGCCATCAGAATCATAGGGGTGTAGTGCCTTTGCCTACAGTGGGTTCCAGGAATTGCCCCCTCCATCTGGTATAAGAAACCCCAAGCTTAACTGAAGACTTCACACACACACACACTCACACACTCAAACACACACGTATTCTCACACCACTTTACGTCTCACACAAATACATCCACTATCACAAGCAGTCGCATTTATACACTCACACACACACTCTCACACTCAGACCCAATCTGAGGGCACACACCCTCACACTTCCACAGCGCCAGTGCAGTCATCCTGAGTCTTGAATTAGTTCTCCAACGCTTTCCCTAGAACTTGACTCATGCTTTTATATAAAGGTGGCTGCCCGCGGGTTCACTGGTGCACCTGCATAACCATCATCGGCACAGGGCTGCCCAGGCCAGACAGCCTTGGACTCCGAGCTGGAGCCGCCCGCGGAGCTCTATTATTCTGCCAGCCTGTCCAGTGCCAGCCCCTCCTGGCTCTCTTCAGCTCTACAGAAGGGCTGCCCCGCTGCCCAGAACCTGCCTCCTCTCAGCCTTTGCATAAGTCTCAGCTGTGCCTATAGAGCTGTGGTCCATCCCAGCACCCTGCCTTCAAAACTTCCCAGGGGGGCTGTCTTTCTGCTTCTGCCAGTTGGGGAAAACCCCAGGCTTCATTCATTCATTCATTCATTCATTCATCAGGTAGCATAAGTTTTTGTTCCCACAATAGTCACCAGAGCCACAGCTGATGTGGTGTCTGGCACGCAAGGAGATGCTTGAACGGAGATAACCTGGAGCTGCCTGTCAGTGTCCAGGAAACAAGGGCAACGGCATCCTGTGGTGACTGCCAACTGACACTCCACTAAGCCCCTCCTGTCCCTTCTCTTACTCTCCTCACTTTCTCTCATCACCACTCTCTTCTCTAACATATCAGTTCAGACCCTTTGGTGCATGGGATGGAAAACAAATTATATATATATATATATATATATATATATATATATATATATATATATGCCCAGTGACTGTTACAGCAGAACAACCAGAATGACCGGTCACTATGATGCACACTGACCAGCAGGGGGCAGACGCTCAATGCAGGAGCTTCCCCCTGGTAGTCAGTGCACTCCCACAGCGGGAGCACTGCTCAGCCAGAAGCTGGGCTCACAGCTGACGAGTGCAGCCACGGTGGCGGGAGCCTCTCTCGCCTCTGCAGCAGCGCTAAGGAGTGGCAAGCCAAGCAGTAAGGAGCAAGCAGTCAGGTTGTTAGGAGCAAGGGGCCCCAGATTGCAAGAGGGATGTCCGACTGCCGGTTTAGTCCCAGTCCCCCAAGGGGTCCCAGATTGCAAGAGGGTGCAGGCCAGGCTGAGGGACCCCACCAGTGCATGAATCCGTGTACCGAGCCTCTAGTAATATATAAAATCCCAAATAGTTTCATAAGCAAAATAAAACCAGGGAAAGAGGCTGAAGCAGGGAGACGAGTTTGGGTGGACAGGCCAGAGACGTCTGCTCGAAGCAGATTTTGGCTTGAATGTCACTTCCACCAAGAGGTGTTCCCAGATCCCCGATCTGACTCAGGACCCCACTTCCCCCAGCTAGCTGCCCAGGCGTTCTGTACAGGACAGGTTCACCCATGCACACTTCTGAACCTCCCTGAGCCTTGACCTCCCCATCTGGACAATGGGGATGATACTACTCCCTACTTCATAGCATCATCCCCGGGCAAATGGGACCATCTGTGCCAAAAGCTTAACACAGGCATGCAGTAGGCACTCAACAACTTCTAGCTCGAGTTGTTTTATGCCCAGGACCTTCACTGCTTAGCTGGCACAGAGTCGGGGCCTCGTGAAGGTTCCACGGATTAGTGGACAGGCCAGTGAACAGGGGAATGAACCGATTCGGTAACTGCAGGCCGTGTCCCACCCACAACAATGGGTCCCCCGTCCGTTCACATGCAGGCTGTTCCACACGCCACCGAGCCAAGTGCTTTGTCTGCCTGGCTGGCTGTTTTCCCAGTGAACTGAGAGTCTGTTTGGGTCTCTGGGAGACAGTCTGACGGAGCTGAGCTCCCGGGCTTCCTGGTTTTGCTCAACTTGAAGGCTGAGACAGACTTCAAACTGGACACGCTCCAAGCAGAACATGGCCCTAACCCCAGTGCTCTTGGGCCCCAAGAGGCTGTGAGTGTCTTAAGAAAGTGGAGGGAGCAGGACCCACAGGCCCTCTGGCCTCATCTTTGACGATCTGGTTTCGACTTCAGGGAGCAGTAAGAGAGAGATTGGGTGTAAAGAGTTTTGTGTCCAGGGAATTTTTTTACAACTGCTCCGCGTGCGTCAAAGCCTTGCTCTGAACTTGGCTCCCGGTGCTATCACGGAGGGACCAGGCTCCTGTGAGCCCTGGCAGCCTGGTTGTTAGAGCAGCAGTGCCTGATGCCACGCTCTCATGACCAAGGGGGTTGCAAAAAGGTCTTACATGCACTGAGACATCACGTGACATGGCCCTGGGAGAGCAGAGTATAGGGACTAAGAGAGAGAGGCCGTGCAGTCTGTGGGTTCAGAGGCTACGGCACGCACTAGCTGTGTGACTCTGGCCGATAAGCAACATCCCTGAGCCTCAGCTTCCTTATTGGCAACAGGGGACTAATAACATTGCTTCCCACACCGGACTGCGAAAATGAAATACGGCAGCGATTGTAGACTGATGCGTAGGGCAGTGTCCGGCACACTGAAAGTTCTCGACTCAGGTCGGTGGTGGTGGTGGTGATAGCGACCATATCAGTCGTGGTGATGGTGGTGATGGAGGTGGAGACAGTGGGGGCAAGGTGGGAGGTGGTGGAGGTGTGCGAGGGTGATGGTGAAAGCAGTCGTCACAGAGACACAGAGGTACCTAAATTTAGGTACCTCTGAATCATACAGTGGAGAGCCACTCAGCCAGCTGCCTGGTGTGGGGGCTGAGTGCTTACCCCAAGAGAACTGGAAAGAACTTGGATAACCTGTTTTCCATTTTGTTCCCCATAGGCCTCTGGAGCTCAGGGACAGAGCAGAGGAGAGGGACTGGGGCAGACCATGTGCAGGGCCAGCCTGGGTCACTTTGCAAGGGATGCAGTCACATGGGCATCCCCCCCACCACGGAGTCCCGCATGTAATATGGAAGCCATCCCCACCCTGCAGGGACCAGGATCCTCTCGGTCATGGGTGCCACCGGACACCAGAGCATCTTGCCAAATGCGTGGCTTATCTGCCACTTGCCCTTGTCCTCCCCAAGGCTCCCTCTTTAGGAACAGATGTCTGCATGCAGGCTGGACAATGCTTGGTTCCCTTCTCAGACAGAGAGCTCACTCCTGCGCTCCAGTGCCCTGGGCTCGGTCATCCACCGTCACCCATCCCCCGGCACCCATGGTGGGCGGTGGCCAACTGGTTTACCCAGAGGAGGGGCGCTGAAACCAAGCAAAACCAAGCAAGCTTCTTGGAGATCAACCCCAGGGCCTTAACCTCGGCAGCAAGTCATCGGAACCAATGCCCCCAAGATGGGACCCCTGTGGGGTATTTGAGTGTAGAAAGAAAATAAGCCAAACAGCCGAAATCTGATAGGCCTGACGTTCAACAAGGCGGGAGCTTCGGCACCTGGGCTGACCCGGTTTGCTTCCGGGTTCTGGGAATCTGGTTGCCTGGCGAGAAAGAGAACTGAAGGAGGAAGAGGAAGAGCGTGTGTGTGAACTCTCTTCACGTTTCAGAACGCCTTTCCCATCTCCCACCTCCCACGACCCATGGGCAGCACATGGGTCTGACACAGGCGTGAACCGAGGCAGCAGAGCCAGCCCCAGGGGTGATGGTGACAGCCCGCCTCTGTGCTGGCGGGGGAGGCCACCATTCCCCAGGGGTGAGCCCTGACAAGTCCCGTCACTTATGCACAGCTTGTCTCTCCGGGCCCTTCAAAGCCCCAGCCAGAGCTGCAATGTGCTCTAAGCAAGGAGGCTCTGCACACTCTTCCTCCGGCCTCCTCCCACCCCCGCCGCGGGGGCTGGGCCCGGGAGAGGGAAGGAGCTGGCCCTGCAGAGAGTCGGCCTCCTCCCACCCCCGCCGCGGGGGCTGGGCCCGGGAGAGGGAAGGAGCTGGCCCTGCAGAGAGTCGGCCTCCACAGCATTTTATTTTCATGCTTTGGAGCCTATGTCCTGGTTTCAGCCTCTTAGACTTCTTTCCCAAGGTATCCTGGCCAAAAGAAAGGGCCTCGTCCCCTTAAAAGACAAACTCATTCTAGTTTAATGAGGTTTAATGGCTTAAGGAATTTCACGTGGTTCAACCACCACCAGATGGGCCCCGAGCGGGAGCCCATCCAGGTGTGCGTTTCCTCTTCCAGCCATGAGGCAATGGACGCTAACTCAACACTGGGCAGCCCCTGCTGTGCCTCAGTGTTCCGGCTCCAGAGGGTCCTGAGCTGGCAACAGGGGCGGTGAGTGCAGGGTGGGGGTGGGAGGCATCAGGGGCGGTGAGTGCAGGGTGGGGGTGGGAGACATCAGGGGCGGTGAGTGCAGGGTGGGGGTGGGAGACATCAGGGGTGGTGAGTGCAGGGTGGGGGTGGGAGGCATTAGGGGTGGTGAGTGCAGGGTGGGGGTGGGAGGCATCAGGGGTGGTGAGTGCAGGGTGAGGGTGGGAGGCATCAGGGGTGGTGAGTGCAGGGTGAGGGTGGCAGGCAGGGGAAAGATGGTGAAACCAGAGGGGAAATACTCACAGGGCTTCGGTGGACCAGCCAGTACGCCTTCTCCTGGCAGTCCAGGGCATACCTGTCTGCTTTATTCCTTTCCTTCCCGGTCCTGAAAAGCCAAAAGCCATGTTTTTCTTGTGTGTGTTTTTCAGGTTATTAATAGTTAAGGTTTTCTTTTGATTACAGTTTGCAGGTGATAATGGTTTTGTATTCATTTCAGGTGTACAGCATGGTGGTTAGACAATCATAGACTTTACAAAGTGTTCCCCTGATATTTCCAGTATCCACCTGGCAACATATATAATTATTATAATACTAGAGGCCTGGTGCACAAAATTCATGCACATTTAGGGTCCCTAGACCTGGCCAGCGATCAGGGCTGATCTGCAGGGCAACTGGCAGTGCAATCAGGGCGTCCCCACCCCTACACTGGCACCTGCCTTGGCTGGCCTGGCGCCGCCCACTCGCAGGTTGGGTCCTGTGTGCTGGGGCAGCTCCTGTGTTGAGCGTCTGCCCCCTGGTGGTCAGTGCACATCATAGCGACCGGTCATTCTACCAGGTGTTCCGCCGTTCATTCGATTTGCATATTAGGCTTTTATTATATAGGATTATAGACCATATTCTCTGTGTTGTACTTTACATTCCCGTGACTGTTCTGTTACTACCAATCTACTTCTGAATCCCTTCACCTTTTTCCACCCAGCCCCCCTCCCTTCGCCCTGCTGGCAACCATCCATCTGTTCTCTGTATCTATGAGTCTGTTTCTCTTTTGTTTGTCCTTTACATGCTAACTAGACACTAACTCAGCGTAGCATCCTACCCTCTATGCCCATCCGTGCTGTCGCAGAGGGTAAGAGTTCGTTCTTTCCGAAGCCATGTTGAAGGCCAGGAAGATTCTGTATCTTTTGCTCAGTGACGGACCCCATTCCTGATGAGCCACAGCACTCGCCCAATTTGCCCAGCTAATCCGTGTGTGCCGTAATGATAATGAAAAACAGCAAATGCTCATGCGACACTGGGCACTGGGTGCCCTGCTCAATGCTTTCACCTATCTAGTCACTTAATCCTCCCAGTGACCTTTTCATGGGAGGTTGAATGTCCCACTGGGGGTCCCCCCATCAGCAAGTGGGAGGGGTGGGACTTGAACTGGGATTCAGGTCCCAGACAGAGTCCAGCTCTGCCTGAGATGGCGGTGCTGGGGTGCAATCACCCCCAGGGGCAGACTTAGAGTCCAATCAACTCCACCTTCACCTCTGGGCCAACGTGGGTGGCGCTCAGGGCTGCCATCTGACCGCCTGCCTTCTTCATTTCCCTGCTCTGGTAAACGACGTACGTGACATCTGGACACGCAGGCAGCCAGCAATGCCAGAGCCCGCCAGGGGGAAATCGCTGGCCTCGGGGCATGTTTGTGCCTCCCTGCCTGTCAGTTCCACTCTGTCGCATCAAAGACTGTGTGCCAAGCCAGGGTTTTTCTGAGCCCAACTTATTATTCCAACAGGCTTTTTATTTCCCTCTTATCTCTCGGTCTCCCCTTCCCTTTATGGAGAGGAAATGAGGCCGCGCTTTGCTCCTGTAGGAGCCGGGCAACGCTCATTATCGCGCCCTGGGCCCCATTCAGCACCATTTCCACGGCGACCTGCGCTCACACTGGGTGACGCTTGTTTTCCCAGGCAACCTGGGATGACGCACATGCCTTCGACCAGACAGAGTCGGCAGATCTATTTGCCAGCTGACGTCTTGTGAATCACATAACATCCAGACACCCAGATGGGTGGGGAGGGCCGTTCCAGTGGGGTGCTGTGCCAACCTCCTGGGGAAATTAAATATAAACAGCATCGCTCCCACTTTCCCTTGCCAAGCTAACTCGATTTTCTACCAGGTTCACTCCCCCCGCCCCCCATGTCCTCCGGAGCCTGGGGCACTGTGAAGTATCCATCATGCTGGTCAGCTTTGTAAACAGAGTCAAGCGCTAATTTACTCCCATGTCCTTTCCGGCTTCGCTCTGCTGCTCTTCTCATAGGAGTTATTGGAAGAGAGACGTAACAAATGGAGCCCAAGGGAGTCAGTAAACGAGGAAGTATTTTAGTTTGTCATATTATGAATGTTTTTCATATTAAGATTTTTCAGCAACAGAATCACATTCATTTACTCATTCATGTAGGTATTGACCTCCCACTATGTTCCAAGCACTGGGAGTACAGTGGTGAACCAAACAGACTGCTATGGCCCTAGCTGGTTTGGCTCAGTGGATAGAGCATCCGCCTGCAGACCGAAGGGTCCCGGGTTCGATTCCGATCGAGGGCACGTGCCTCTGTTGCAGGCTCCTCCCTGGCCCAGGCCCTGGTTGGGGCGTGTGCAGGAGGCAACCAATGGATGTGTTTCTCTCTTCCATGCTCTCTAAAAAAAATCAATGGAAAAATATCCTCGGGTGAGGATTAAAAAAAAAAAAAAAGACTGCTATGGACCGAATGTCTGTGTCCCACCCCAGCTCGTGCCGGGCACTTACTTACACTATCCACTCTCCTGGGCTTCCAGCTTCCCGGCTACAGATTTTGGGACTTAACCCTCCATAACTGTAATTCCTGATCATAAATCTGTGTATTTATACATGATTGGCTCTCTTTTCTTAGAGAACCCTGACTAACCCACCACTACTCTGGTTCCAGGCTGCTTCATGAGAATGGGGTCCCCATCATCCGGCCCCGCCATGCGCCAGCCAGCCTAGAGCTGCCAGGATCTGGACCCGGCAAGGTGAGTGAAGGTGGGCCACCTGGGCTTAATCCACTGGCGTCAGTCCCCCGATATTCCTGATCCCACGCCCACACACAGTAATAGTGTACATCCCCACGGCCCTGACTGGGTAGCTCAGTTGGTTAGAGCATCTTCCCAGTACGCCAAGGTTGGGGGTTCAATCCCTGGTCAGGGCACATACAAGGATCAACCGATGAATGCATGAATGGGAGGAATTACAAGTCAATTTCTTTCTCTCTCTCTCTCTCTCTCTCTCTCTCTCTCTCTCTCTCTCTCTCTCAGAAAAGAAAATATTGTACATCCCCACCCATCCTCCCTTGAAATTGGGCATAACCATGTGACCTGCTTTGGCTAATGAATCGTGAGCAGAAGTGACATGCAGCACCTGTGATCCTCCCAGCCCCTCCCCCCCACTGCTCTGGAAACAGACAAAGCCGGGGCGGGGCTGCTCCTTTAGCATAGGTCCTGGTGGGCACAAAGCATGTAGGGCCCCGGTGACCCACAGAGGTCCTGGGACACAAGCAAGAAGTAAGCCCCGTGCCGAAACCGGTTTGGCTCAGTGGATGGAGCGTCGGCCTGCGGACTGAAGGGTCCCAGGTTCGATTCCGGTCAAGGGCATGTACCTGGGTTGCAGGCACATCCCCAGTAGGAGATGTGCAGGAGGCAGCTGATCGATGTTTCTCTCTCATCGATGTTTCTAACTCTCTATCTCTCTCCCTTCCTCTCTGTAAAAAATCAATAAAATATATTTAAAAAAAAAAAAAAAAGAAGTAAGCCCCGTGGTTTCATGCCCCTGAGATGTGGGGACTGCTTGTTACAATAGCCTAACCTCATCCTGACTGATACACCCTCCCCAGCGTTTACATCTGGCTCTTGTGGACAAGAAGGGCTCTTCAGGCCAGCCAGTGTGGCTCAGTGGTTGAGTGTCAACCTATGAACCAGGAGGTTAGGTTCGATTCCCAGTCAGGGCACATGCCCAGGTTGCAGGCTCAGTCTCCGGGGGGGGGGGGGGGGGGGGGGTAGGGTGCGGTGCAGGAGGCAGCTGAACAGTGATTCTCTCTCATCATTGATGTTTCTATCTCTCTCTCCCTCTTCCTTCCTCTCTGAAATCAATAAAAATATTTTTTTTAAATAAAAATAAGAGAGAGCCCTCCAGAAGGATGTTAGCTCCATTTCTGATGTGAACAGCAGGCAAATGAGAGCAGCAGTTGGTGGTGCTAACATGTGAATCTGATTACATACCTCCCCTGCTTCAAAATATTTCCCTGTGGCCCTTATCGCCATCCTCACTTCTGCCAGTTCCAAGCTTCGCACTCTCCACTTCTGCTGTGAGAAACTGTGTCAAGCAGACATCCCCTGCCTCCAGACTCTGGTCCTGTCTGCCTAGAACACGATGTCTCCCACCTCGCCACTCCATGCAGCATCACCATCCTTCACCTGGATGCCTCCTACCCAGCCTCCAAGTTCAATGTGGTTTCCACAGCTCCTTCTGCAAAGTCCTGCCTGTGGCTCTCGTCCCACTGCAGCATCACAATCTTCTGCCTGGCCCGCTAGACCGTGTCCCTATATTCCCTATGCCTAGCCCAGTGCTTGAACCATAAACGCCCACTAAAGGGTTATTTTACCAAAAGGACACAAGGGAGGGAGGGAGGAAGAACAGCCAGGGGGTGACCAGGACCTTTCACTCACCTGTACTGCTCTTTGGCCTGCATAATGACAAAGTCCCACTTGTAGTTGATTTTTTTGTTCAAGAAATCGTAGTTTTCCTAGGGAAGGAAAACGCAGTGAGAACACTGAGGCCCGTGACATATGCCACGTGCAGTGGGCAGAAAGCCCTACGTCGACGAGGGCATGCCCCTGGCTTGGCAACAACGAGGCCCAGTCAACGGGCCTTCGCCCAGCTTTGCAAGCTGCTCATTCAAGGTGTAGCACCAAATTCTCAAAAAGCCTTTTTAAAAATATATGTATCTCAAATCTGATCAGGAAGAAGGGAATACAGTGTGGGGAGGAGCATGGAAACTCAGTACTCAACAACAGAGCATCACAAATCCACAAAGATAAGACCTAAGATTGGTATGATGCTGGCTCTTCTAAAAAACATGTTTGTAATGCATAAAACACAGCAGAATTGTTGCCGTCTGCCCAGAAATCAAGCCTTTAGAGAAATATGACTCCTCAAGCCTAAAACAAAAGTTTATACTATTGCTTTCCCATCACAAACACAAATTCAAACCTGTTCACCAATTAATATGCATTATCATACATATTAATTCAAATCATTTTGGGATAGCAAAGGCTTAAATTACAGCGTGAGAAACTGAAGTTCAACATAGGGAAGAATTCACTTCAGGGAGCTGCTTCTAAATATTCTGATGGAAAATGGTCAGATGATGGGTAGATGGATGGATGGATGGAGGGATGGATGGATGGACAACGGCTAGATGGATGATAGATAAATGGATAAAGGATGGATGGATGGATGGATAGATGATGGACAAATGATGGATGGATGGATGGATGATGAATGGATGATAGATTGAATGGATGATAGATGGATAGATGATGGATGACAAATGGATGAACGGATGGATGGATGAGGATACATATGAAGGTAGCAATGAGGGAAATGGGGGGAAAGAACAACTCAAGACTATATTCCACTCAAGTATAATAGCCTTTACTTGAAAGTATCTCTGTACCTTTTCGTGTTCTTCTAAAACCCCTTTCTTCTTGATATTTCGCTTGGTCAGATAGATGGCTGGGGAAGAAAACAATGACATTTTCCATCATCAGGTTTCAGAACCACATCTGCAGGCTCTCTGGGCATGAGGCTGCTGTGCTCGGCCCGGTGGAGAGAACACAGCAGACCCGCTCTCTTCCTGCAGGAACACTCCCAATACAGGGGTGTACGGATAGAAAGGTCATGATGACAGCAAGACAAATGCCACCAAAATGCAGCAAGAAAACAAGCAACACGTTAAGCACTAACAAAGGCATGAGGAGAGGCAGTTACCATAGTCTGTATCTTCAGCTGGCCACTGCTGGGTTGGCCAGAAATACGGCGTCTACGAAAGAAACCAAGAAACCTCGCTTAGACAGTGGGCTCCGACCCAGGAAGGCCCCAGCCATGTGGTTTAACAGATAAAACGTCCTTAGCCCCCTCCACTTATTTCCGAAGTCCTGATCTGTGAGGATGTGAAGCCAAGCAGCTGTCTCTTCAGATAAGATTAACCCCATATTAATAGCCACGGTCGGGCCAAGACTCACCTGGAATCGGTAGAGGCTGCCATCGGGCTTGAGAATGAGATTCTTGGGGTCCTGCAGGGGGTAAATGTAGCCGTACTTGACGATGAAGTTGCCCAAGTTCTGCGCCTCTGGGGAGAAGCAGCGGAAGCATGGAAGTTAAGAGCAGGGGCCAAAGGCAGAAGCTCACTACCCAGCCCCCACACACAGCACCCCAAACTCCAAAAATGATGCCTCCGTGCTACCAACACATCAATAAAGGAGGGAGGACAGCAGTTCCTGGACTTGGCCGTGGGTGAGTATCAGCTGGGAAACGCGTTAATAGGAGGATCCCCCAGCCAATATTTTGTATGAAACAATTCTGTCCCCCAATTGGATCCTGGTTGTTTTACACATGAAGGCCTTGTCTGTTCAATTAAAATGTCGATTTCTCAGAGCCCCGGGCTAAGCCTCCACGCAGTCTCTGCCTGCAAAGGTTCTCGCGGGCTCCACGCACAGCAAGCCTCGGTCACCCAGGACCAGACGAGCTCTCACCCAGACTGGAGATCCAGAGCCGCTGGACAAGCCACTGCAGAACATCACTTCCTGCAAAACAGAAATGTCAGGCCGTCATCAGAGCCTCCTCACACGCCCGCTGGCCTCCTCCCTGCTCAGCTGTGATCACATCCCTCTTCTGCTCAAAACTTTCAGGGACTCCCTTCCTCCACCCACCCACCCACCCCCACTGTGTGCAGTCCAGACCCTGCAGCCCGTAATTCAGGGCCATCCATGATCTGGCTCTGGCCTGGTTTCCCGCTTACCCTCCCCTACACACTCTCCGTCTTTACCTCTCTTGTGGTCCCTCTTTTCTTACCTCACAATGATTTGTGCACAGACTCAAGTAGAAAGTAAACAGACAAGTCTTAACACTGAAAATAATCAGACCCAAGGCAAGCTGTCCATGGCGCTCTAGGTGGAGCCTGGACACATGGGCTAAATCAGAGCCAGGGATGGGAAGAAAAATAGGGGTGGGCTGAGCTAGGGGGCTGGTTCTCCTATGCCTCCCAGTTTCAGGGGGAAAATTTGAGAGAGCCAGAGACTTCGAACCCTCGTGAAGGTACTTTTATCAAAGCAGGAGGATGGGACAGATTTTAGTAACTCTTTGTAGGGTGAGTTACTACTTTGGACAGTAGAATGTGGGCTCCATTGTTACTCTTGCCCTGAGTCCTGGGAACCGTGCAGAGTGGAGGCTGGTGTGAAAAAACTAGGGGAGGCAGAGAGAGACAGGGTCGGGGGAGAACATGCACCCCTCCCACCCAGCCCCCCAGGATGCAGATGTATCTAAGGGCCGAAGCAAGCCAAGCTCCACCAACAAGTCCAGAACTGCTGCAGGACCTCAGGGAAGCTGTGTGCCTCCTACTCAACCTGGACTCTTGCCCCATGCACAGCTCATGCTCCTTGTAGGAGGAGGGCAGCACCATCGCAGAAGAAAGACAAGCGGTCCTGGTACCGAACACCCCAATGCAGACACCATCTTGCAAACGCCATAGACCTCCCTTTCCAGCAACCCCAGCCGCTTTATAAAGGCCACGCTGGTCCCCGGCCTGCATGGCAGCCGGCCCGCAAAATAGGCCACGAAGGAGCATCAGGGTCGGAGACCCCGCTGCCTGTGTCCTTGTGGCTGGACTGTTGCAAAGGAGACTTCCCTCCTTGGAGATGGCGAAGGGGCACTTCCTTTGGCGCCTCCAGGAAGGGCCCTATGCTCCCCTCCCACACTCTCTGGGCTTAATTACCTGCCCACAGCATGGCTGAGGCTGGGCCACCTGTAACTCTTCCCTCCCCATCCACACCCTGGGGCACAATAGCCAGCCTTTACCTCTGTCGGTGCCCACGTGCCCACCATTATTGCTTTCACTGGATTCTCCTCCGTTACTCTTAGCTTTATTCGTCCCTGGTTGGCTGGGCAAAAGCAAACTTCATTTAAAATTCGAGGGCTGGCTGTTTTTATTTTATATTTTTAGTGATTTCAGAGAGGAAAGGAGAGGGAGAGAGGGAGAGAGATAGAAAATCAATGATCAGAATCATTGAGCAGGTGCCTCCTGCACACCCCCTACTGGAGATCGAGCCTGCAACCCAGGCATATGCCCTCGACTAGAATCGAACCCAGGACCCTTCAGTCCGCAGGCTAATGCTCTATCCACTGAGCCAAACTGGCTAGGGCAGTGATGGCGAACCTTTTGAGCTCGGCGTGTCAGTGTTTTGAAAAACCCTAACTTAACTCTGGTGCCGTGTCACATATAGAAATTTTTTGATATTTGCAACCATAGTAAAACAAAGACTTATATTTTTGATGTTTATTTGATATATTTAAATGCCACTTAACAAAGAAAAATCAACCAAAAAAATGAGTTCGCGTGTCACCTCTGACACGCGTGTCATAGGTTCGCCATCACTGGGCTAGGGCAAGGGGAGGACTGGCTGTTTTAGACTTTCCACCCCAAGTCTCATTGAATGCTACACAGTTTATGCAGAGCGAGAAAGACCCAAATAGACAGCAGACAGATTAGTGCTCTCCACCAAGGAGCCAAGGGTTGTCTCATCCACTTGACTGCTTCCTGAAATAAATCAAATGAGATTACAGGCCACTGGCATCTGTACCACGTGGTCTGTGAGGGCTTCTACATCAGCCATCTTCATCCCCAGAAGTCCTGGGTCACCTGCCATCCGAGGAGATGGATGCCAATTACTCAATTAGCTGTTATTAGTGCTGATCTGCAGCTGCAAGACAAGGCCTTCCCTGTGTCCTGTTCCAACAGCCGCTGGAGTTCACCAGCAGGAGGAGCAAGGGGAAGCATGGCAGGGGGGCACCTCAGCCGGGAACCAGGTGCACCCCGTGTGCGAGGGAGGGGAGCAGTGAGTGCACACTGAGAGGAATAAGAGTGTGGACACTGGAGTCACATCACTGGGCTCAAGTCCAAGCTCGGCCAAGGTAGGAGTCGAGTGACATGGGGACAAGTTGCTGGACCTCTTTGCGTCTCCAGGGCCCCCTCTGCGACATGGGGATGATTGCATCTTTCCCTAAGTGTACAGTGTATATCAACTGACACAGTGTGGGAAATTGTGAGCGATTGCCACTCCTCCAGCGTCCGCTGTGTGCTGGCCACAGGCACGGTACTATCTCCTTTACTAGTAATTCCTGCACTCATTCTCTTAGACAGGAATTGCCACGCCTGCTTCTAAAATGAGAACATTGAGGTTCGGCTACATCGCTAGAAAAGGCACCCAGCGGATTCAATCCCGCGGAGCCTGACTCAATGTCAAGTGCTAGACCAGGGCTGGTTCACTCATTCAATGGACTTGTATTAGATCTCTCCCCTGCCCCACAGCTCTGCTAGGCACTGGGGTTACCCAGATGAGCAAGAGGAGATTCTGCCCCTTGAGGGCTTCCGAATCTAGTGGAGAATTCAGGCCAAAACCAGTGACAACCAGGGTGGGAGAACTGCCACGGCTGCATCTTAACTGCTGCGGGAGGCCAGAGGCACCCTGGAAAGTCTGCCCTTTGATCCCTGCTGTTTGGGTGCCCAGGCTGCCTGGGTTCCTAGCCTTTCCCGAGTCTGGCTCATCCGTTTCCCTGTCTTAGGTGAGCTGCCCTGTCACATTCCAATCAATGCCTCGTTTGCTCCAACTAGCCAGGGTGGGTCTTCTGTTGCTGGCACTCAGGGATCCCTGAGTGGCACATGGCTGGTGGGGGGAGCCCGTCTTCCAGGCCGTCAGACAGGGAATCAGGAGGCTGGTAGCCAGCTTGCCTCTGCAAAGGCGAGGGCACTTGATGAGAAATTAATAGTCAGGTCGTGGGTGGGGCTCGGGGGGCGAGTGAGGGCTCATGGGGAGCTCAGCACAGGGCGAGGCCCCAGCTGGTGCTGCGAGAAGCTGCTTCTGCAGCCAATATGCCTCCGTAGGAAACATGCCCTCCACTGCAACCCAAAGCATAAAGCATATGCCACACATGTATCAAAATGCATTCTTACTTTGGGGTTCAGCTCTTTCTGTCCATATCCTCAAAGGATGCTCTGCACCCCTTTATCCCACACCCAGAGAAAAGACACAGGGGCGCCATCCCCACAGGGTAGTTAAGAAGGGTCTGAATACAAATTAGAAGGTAGGGGAGGGTAGAACAAAGGCCAGTTTTTTTACTGCCAAATAGTTATTTTCTGCTACCTGATTTCATTAGAGCAAACAAGGCAAACAAACAGTCACAGTAAACGTGGTTTTTTTTTAAATGACCCCCTGGTGGAATGGCTTCACAAAGTGACCTTTTGAGTCCTTTTCTCCTTCCTTTCCCACCCCTTCTGCAGAAGGGGCCTGGGGCCCAGCAGTCAGCGAACGTATTCTGGAAAGGGCGCAGTGGTTCTCAACCTTCTGGCCCTTTAAATACGGTTCCTCATGTTGTGACCCAACCATAAAATTATTTTTGTTGCTACTTCATAACTGTAATGTTGCTACTGTTATGAATCGTCATGTAAATATCTGATATGCAGGATGGTCTTAGGCGACCCTTGTGAAAGGGTCGTTCGACCGCCAAAGGGGTCGCGACCCACAGGTTGAGAACCACTGGGCTGGAGGGTAAATATTTTCGGTTTTGTGGGCCGTGATACTGTCTCTCTGCACAGCTATTTACATGGTCGTATAAAAGCAGCCAACGACAATACATAAGTGGGGATGTGGCCGTGTTCCAATAAAACTTTATTTACAAATATAGGCCGCGGGCCAAATGTGACCACAGGCTGTAGTTCGCCAGCACCCCCTGTGTGGTCTGTTCCAGGACAAGACTACGTCACAGGACGGGTTACCTGTCATGGCGTGAGGGATGCTGGTGACCAGGATCTTCTGGTTCTGCATTCGGACCCCCGTCTCCGGGCTCTGCATGTCCTTCACTAGCGCTTCAATCTGCAAGGCAGAAGCGAAGAGTGTGGCTAAGGGGAACCGTGTCAGAGGCTGAGTCGGGCTTTTTGCACGGCACGGAGGGGTCAGGGGACACAAAGATGGGCCCACGGAGCGAACCACGTGGGTGGCCCTGAGTAAGGCCACCAGAACTAGAGGGGCAGCGTGCTCCAGGCGCCGTGCCCGCGCTGTGGGCGTGCCCGGGAGACTCGGCCTGACGTGGAGATGCTGCAGAGACTTTCAGGAGAAGACGGGACTTGACAACAAAGGCTTTTCCTGGACAGAAAGGGGGAGGATGAGCACAGGCACGGGAGGGTGTGAGAGGGACAGAAAGCAAGGGGAGGCGAGGCCGGAGGGACAGGTGGAGGCCCGGTGCAGGGACCTCGAATGCCACGCCCAGCGTGCGGATTTTGTTCAGAGGGGTGGCATGACCTGGCCTGCGTTTTGGAAACGTGGTCTACGGCAGAGGGAGGACACTGGAGCCTGAAGAAGGCTGCCCCCGTGGAGAAAAGCGGGCGATGTCGTCAAAGCTGTCTCTGTAGTCGGGGCAGGACGTGATGGGGCTTCACCGTGACACGTCCACCCCTCGGTCTATTCGCAACTGAGCCGTCACAGTGAGTCCTTTCATCATTTTAGAACATGTCACCCCTGTGCTCCAAACCCTGCCAGGGCCATGTCACCCAGAGCCAATGGCCAAGATTCCCTCTCCGAAGTCGGGGCAGCTGTGCTCAGCTGGACCTGTCCTTGTGGAGGGTCGCACCTGAACACCAACCTGTCCGCTCCCCGCACTAAAAGAGCTCAGTGGCCTACCTCTTCCCCTCGATTTAACCAACCTGGTGGCATCACCCTTATTCTCCTGCTTTTCATAAAATACACTCTCCAGGCATCTGAACACAGCCCTGCACTACAAAGTATGGTTTTGTAATCTCTTAGAATCTAATTAATTGTGTGAAAATGCTTTATAAGGCATGATATGTTATACTGCATAAAGATAAATAAGGACAAAGTCATATACACATAAAGATAGATGCTTTATAAGGAGACATATGTTGGTGGTTGTTGATGGAATCTTTGTAGCATTTGTACAATTCATGCATCTTTGAAACTTTGCATGCAGGGCTGTGTTCAGATGCCTGGGAGTAAAGGCCTAGCTCTACTCACCAATTAAACATATTTATTGATTAAGCACATGTTTATTGAGCATGTACTGCATGCCCAGCACTGTGGAGGATACAACAAAGTGAAAGAGACAGTCCCCATCCTCGGAGAGCTGGGAAGACATCTGTAGGAAAATGGAAATTTAAGATAAACACTAGGGACCTGGGTGACTAAAACGCTCTGCTCAAACCCCTGCTCCAAAGTATACGCTGGATAAATTGCTACATCTCACTGAGACTCACTGCTCTGTCAAACAGAGATTGCAAGTGCCTCGCCATCAGAGGAATGACGTGAAGATTAAATGAGATTGATCACGTAAAGCACTTAGCATCGAGCCATGCACAAAGTCAGCATGTGTTACACGGAAAAGGCAGGCTGAATTTTGCATCAAAAAAATAAGGAGGATACTGACTGGAATGAGAACCAGGAAGAAGAGGAGGCTGAGATGATGAAAAAGCAGTGTGCATGGAGAGAGTAGGGTTTCCCTAGACAGGGAGGGAGGGTTGTGCTCCAAGAGGCGGAGGGGATGGGGGAGTAACAAGGCCCCCGGCTTCTCCACACAGGAAAGTGAGGACATTGAACTGGGAACCTGTGCAGTCCACTGTTGATGCGAATGCAAAATGAAAACAGTATGGCGGTTCCTCCAGAAATTACCCGGAATTGCCATACCACCCAGCAACCCCGCCTCTGGGTATTTATCAGGAAGAACTGACCTCGGGATCTCGCAGAGCTATGAGCACTCCCGTGTTCACTGCAGCATAACTCATGCGGCCAAGATGCGAAAACAACCTGTGTCCCCTGATGGATGGGCAGATACAGGAAACGTGGCACATGCATACCATGGAATACTTCTCAGCCTTTTAAAAAAACAGGAATTCTGCCACATGCGACAACCCGGACGAACCTGGGGGACATTTTGCTGAGTGACATAAGCCAGTCACAGAAAGCCTGCATGCTTCCTCTTATGTGAAGTGTCTAACACGCAAAATAAAAGCATGGAGGGAGGGGATTAGAGAGGGGCTAGGAAAAGGGCATAAAGTTTCAGTTAAGCAACGTGGATGATTGTAGGGATCTGCTCTACAGTATCGTAAAGGTAACAATACTGTTCGTACACTGAAAGTTCCCGTATGAAGGGTTCCACCACAATAAAATAAATGTTAAAAAACAGCATGAGCGCCCTGCCTGGCTGCTCAGTGGTTAGAGCATCGGCCACTTGGGAATTCAATTCCCTGTCAAGGTACCTCGGACCTAGTCCAGGTGCACGCGGGAAGCAACCCAACCATGTGTCTCTCTCAGGTCAATGTTTCTCTCTCTCTCTCCCCTTCCTCCCTTCCTTCTATTCTCTCTAAAAATCAATGGGAAAAAATATCCTCAGGTGAGGATTAAAAAAAGATATAGCATTAGAGCAGTGGTTCTCAACCTTCTGGCCCTTCAAATACAGTTCCTCATGTTGTGACCCAACCATAAAATTATTTTCGCTGCTACTTCATAACTGTAATGCTGCTACTGTTATGAATCGTCATGTAAATATCTGATATGCAGGATGGTCTTAGGCGACCCCTGTGAAAGGGTTGTTCGACCGCCAAAGGGGTCGCGACCCGCAGGTTGAGAACCGCTGCATTAGAGAGAGATGAACCCGGCTGCACTGGAGGGGGGAATCGTGCTGAGGAACCCCGATTTGGACAGATTAGACCTGCCCCCTGCCCCTCGGCCAGCCACTCCTGCAGCTGGAAGGCTCCCACCTCCCCAAGGAGGGAAGGGCGTGGGTCCTGAGTCACTGCTGAGGGCTGAGCGTCCACTTTCAATCTGTTGCTAAACCAGCATCTCGAGAAACAACCAGGATCAAGGGCATGGTCAAGGTCGCCCTGGGCACAGTGCCAGAGGCTCAGCCAGCGAGCAAGACTGGCCGGGGCCCAGGGGGTGCCTGGGGCTCCTCATGCAAGACTGACTGAGGGCTGGCTTCCTCTGGAGGACACTTTCCTGGCTCACAGGCTTGTTCTGGGATGGAAACTTCATTTCCGCTCCATCGGAGCCTCGGTCCTTGGTCGGCCATGTCTAGGCCTGGCAGTATCTCAGGCCACTGGGCCAGCAGAGCGGCCACAGCAGGGAGGGGAGCTAAGAGGTGCCCCAGGAAGGTGTGGGGGGCTGGGAGGTGGCCTCACTCCCCCTGGACATGGCCAGGGGACCCAGGAGCCACAGGTTGCAGGAGTCACTCCTTCCAAGTTCTCAACTAACCATGAGCTGTGGGGTCAAATGCCACTTTGAGATGTGCCTGACTTTGTAGCATGAGGGCCTGCCAGGTGAGATCCCACACTTATTTTAAAATGGGTTTTAGATGAAACAGCAGCATTTCGAGGGAACAGGGGACCCCGATATTGGAGAAGAAGTAGAAACCCGCCCTATGAGTTGGAAACCTGAGTTTCCCTGAGAGAGAAAGTCAGGGAATCTGATCCCTTCTCTTCGCATTAAAAAAAAGTAATAATAAATTAAAACCTAGTTATAAAGAGCTTGAAAATAACCTTCAGAGGAGGAATAATGAGAGCTATTTTTACAGCACAATGCGGGGAGTCAGGTTTCTCTCTGGCAGGTGCATCACCCTCCCCAGAAGGGAAGGGGCACACAGGGACCCCGAAAACGTTCTGCGGGAGCCGGGCCCATTGGGAGGCCAATCAGTTTTCCTCAGGATTCTCCTCGGAGGGTCTCCCCAGCCACCCAGCGAGGAAAGGATAGGACTCCGGCCGGTGGCACCGCCTCTGAGAAACCCTGTTAGGGGTGAACCGCGCCCCCTCCAAACGCATATGTTGAATCCTCACCCCCAGGACCTCGGAATGTGACTCCATTTGGACAGAGGGTCTTTAAGAAGGTGACGGAACCCGGCCGGCGTGGCTCCGTGGTTGAGTGTTGACCTATGTACCAGGAGGTCACGGTTCGGTTCCCGGTCAGGGCACATGCCCAAGTTGCGGGCTCAGTCCCAGTGTAGGGCGTGCAGGAGGCAGCCGGTCAACGATTCTCTCTCATCATTGCCGTTTCTCTCTCTCTCCCTCTCCCTTCCTCTCCGAAATCAATAAAAATATATTTTTTAAATAAACGCGGTAACGGAGCTCAAATGAGGCCGTTAGTGGGGCTCCAACTGCATTACGACCGGTGTCCTTTCCAGAAGAGGAAGTTAGGGCACAGATGCCCGCAGAGGGAAGACCACGCAAGGACACGGGAGAAAGCAGCCGGCCGGCGGCCCAGGGCAGAGGCCGCACACGAAGCCAACCCCTCCAACACCACGATCTCCAGCACTGTGAGCACAAGGTGCCCCTGGTTCCGGCCACCCAGCCGGTGGCACTTGGCCACGGCAGCCCACGCAGGCGAAGGTTTGCTTTGGTCTCTGTGTTGCCAACTTCTGTCTGGCGGGCGGTCCTCTAAGAATGAGGGAGAGGATGGCCATCCCCACCCCCAATGTCAGTGCCCACTCCGAACCAGACTCAGCTCCCGGCGCCTCCCGGGAGCCACGCCGCCTTCCCAGGCAACGCGGAAATGCCACAGAACCAGAACCAGGCTGAGCTGGGCCCCGCCTGACCCCGTGTTGGGGGCCGGGGTGGAGGGGTGTCGGGCCCACGTTGCTTCTCTCAGATGCCAACGTGCTATGGTGTGACTGCCGGCGTGACAGGGAACCCCCACATCACGAAGGAGCAGAAATGATGGCTTTGACGGCCGCCACATCCCACCCTCCACGCCCACGCCCGTGCCTCGCATTAAGGACCTGTCACTCATGCGCAAGATCTGTGGGGCTGGAATTTTCCTTTCAGCCAAGGAAGGCTCCCAGGGGGATGATAATCATCAGTACTTTTCTGTACACAGATGGGGACAGCGACCCAGGACCAGGAAGTGATTTTGCAACAACGCGGAAGGAGCTCCTGCTAATGCGTCTGACCACACGGAGGCCCGCTGACCTCCCGGCCATCTGACCGCCACGTCCGGAAGACCCTCGAAAGCGCATCCCCGCATCGGGGCTCACAGGCTTTCCCCCAAACCTGCTCTTTACACCCTGGTCAAAAGCCCAAGGCGCGTCCTAGGTGACCCCGGCCAGTAACGGCCAACTTCTGTTGACTCTGCTTTTGTGTCTGACGTGTCTCCTCTCTGGCCCCCATCCTGGCTCTCAGGCTCTGCCCACCTGGCACCTGCACTTTGAAATGCATCCTCCAGGTGAAGTGCCACCGACACCTGGGAAGATCACTCTGGGCTGTGGGGCTGGCTGCCTGTGCAGGAATCCTGCCTGTGCCCACAAGATGCCCATAGCATCCCCCTCCCCAGCAGTGACACCCTAAATGTCCCGGGGGCGTTCACCTTAGCTGTGCATTCAAATCACTTGAGAAGCTCTATTGAAAAGACCTATGTTGCCCGGCTGGTGGCTCGGTTGGTTAGAGCATTGTGCCAACATGCCAAGACGGCGGGTTTGATCCCCGGTCAGGGCATATACAAGAATCAACCAATGATTGCATAAACAAGTGGAACAAGTTGATGTTTCTCCCTCTCAAAAAAAAAACAATCAATTAGCCCAGCTGGGGTGGCTCAGTGGTTGAGGGTTGACCTATGAACCAGGAGGTCATGGTTTGATTCCCAGGTTTCAGGCTTGATCCCTACCTAGTAGGGGGCATGTAGAAGGCAGCCAATCAATGATTCTCTCTCATCATTGATGTTTCTATCCCTCTCCCTCCTTCTCCTTTCCTCTCTGAAATCAATAAAAATACTTTTTTTTAAAAAAGCAACTTAAAAAGCCAATGCTTGGGCTCTACCCGACTTAATTACTTAATTACCTCTTAAGTGAACAGAAACTCTAAGGATGGTAACTTGAGAGCAATATTTCTCCAAGTGCAGCCAGGGTAGAGAAGAACTCATACCCTCTCATCAGAATCATCTTCCTAACCTGTAAACCAACTCATTTTATTCATCTCTGATTTTAACACATCAAACAGCTTCTCCCTGAACACGGAGAGCATCAGACTCCTCAGCACAACATTCAAAGCCCCCAGTTCTGGGCCCTTCTCTCCAGCCTTCCTGTCCGTCAGCCTCCTGCCGGACCATCCCAACCCCTGGTGAGTCTGCAAACCATCATGCTATTTCACATGTCCGTGTTTAATAATGCCACTGTGTTCAGGAATAAATGAGATGGTGTATGTAAGGCCCCCGTTGGGGAATACAACATACTTCATGAACCTTCCTTGACTGTTTCTCTGAGAAGTTGATGACAGTTGCACACAGGTCCACATGCCTTTAGCCTGGGTCCTTCAGAAGGCTGGACATCTAGTTCAGCAGGTTCATAGCTAGAGATCCCCTGGCACGGGCTCTTGAGACCTGCTCTGCACACCTTGATTCTATCCTTCCTCCTCCTCTCGAGAGCTATGTGACCTGGTGAGGACCTCAGTAGCAAGGTGGAGGAGGGTGAGGCTGGGGTGGAGGAAGGGGAGGCTGGGTGGAGGAGGGTGAGGCTGGGGTGGAGGAAGGGGAGGCTGGGGTGGAGGAGGGTGAGGCTGGGGTGAAGGAAGGGGAGGCTGGGGTGGAGGAGGGTGAGGCTGGGGTGGAGGAAGGGGAGGCTGGGGTGGAGGAGGGTGAGGCTGGGGTGGAGGAAGGGGAGGCTGGGGTGGAGGAGGGTGAGGCTGGGGTGGAGGAAGGGGAGGCTGGGGTGGAGGAGGGTGAGGCTGGGGTGGAGGAAGGGGAGGCTGGGGTGGAGGAGGGTGAGGCTGGGGTGGAAGTGGTGGAGAGTGGGGGGGTGGAGGGGGAGGCTGGGGTGGAAGAGATGAGAGTGCAATGGTTAGGGGAGAGGCTGGCAACCAGACTCCAGTCAGAAGGCCAAGGTAAAGAGAGGAGGCTCTGCTAGACAGCAGCCATGATGGCAAGAACGTCTGAGATTCAGAAGACACGGAGAGTATCTCCAGACCATTCCTCCCCAAGCCTCCGAGCCTGCCTGTCTGGGGGCGGAAGAGGGCAGTCTTGGGGAACCCTGGAGGATGACCATGGCTTTCAGATAGGGGGTTTGGGTGGTCTCCTCTGCTTTCAGGAACAGGTGTCTGCCATATCGGCTCTCGGGGTCCTTTCTGACAACCTTCTACCTGTTTTGTGGATGAGCCTCACACCTCCACTACCTGGATACAAGCACAAGCTCCTAGAAGTGGGCGGAGGGGTGTGACCAGCGGTCCAGCACGCCCAGCACTGTCCAGGTTACAGCATTGATCGTTCCAGGCAAATCAGGACAGTTGGGCACTGACTACACCCACGTACTCAGCTCCAGGGGCTCAGGGCTCCACTTGTCACCGAGCATTCGGCTAATTCCACTCAACAAGATAAGCCTCAGATGGTGGACACGGTGCCGTGGAAAGCGGCTGTGGACGGAAGGAAGGGTGGACAAGTGACCTAGGGCCTCAGCCCCTGACGATCGCTTCAGACACTGGTTATCTGAAGAGTTCACAACAAAATGAGCCACTGTTTCCAAACACATCGCCCCAGCAAGACGCATTTTACCTCCCCCACAACCACACAACAGCCTGTGTCTGGCCACCTGGCCTGAGAAAGTCTGTGGCCGAAGAGAAAAGGTTCTGACTTCTGCTGCCAGCACAGAGACCGGAGATAAGAAGATACACATGCTCCAATGGGGGGTCTGGGGGTGCTGGGAGTGGGGTGTCCTTTATCCTACAAATATATCATTGCGTGATCGATGCGTACACAGTCACCCCCCCCACACACACACACACACACACACTCACTCACACACTTTACAATACTGTAGTTGGGGATCCAAAAAATAGCCCCCAAAATGTTGATTTAATATCTGGGTGCCTTATAACAAGATCCGGAAACGGCCTTGCAGGTGACAGCCTGGGCTGCACTGCCTCGGGCAGGGCACCCTCCTCTCCTGAGTAACAGGTAGTTCTGAGCCTGCAGCAGACCATCGCCCGGGCTCCCGGTCTCCACTACAGACAGGTTACATGGAAACCTAATGATGACAGTGTTCACACACACACACACACACACACACACACACACACACTGCAAAGAAGTCCTTTCATAGCAGCAGCAGCATTAACGGACCACAAGGGATGCCCTCCGCTCCTGCCCACACGCGCTGAGCCGGTCCAGCATCTCCGCGGACACTTCTCAGAGTTGGGTCCCCGCGCACCCCCCAGGCCCAGGTGGCAGACCAGCTTACCTTCTGGAGAAATGCCATCCTCGGCCTGTACTGCTGGCCTTGGTGCCGGATTGTCATCCTGGACCCTGGATGAATTCAGAACCAGAACACCACAGGGAGAGAAGAGGAGAGGCCCGCAAGTGAGAGGCCAGCGTGCCTCGCACACACCCTGAAGCCCAAGAGGAGGTGGGGGGAGCCGGAGAGCGCGGGGCGGGGGCGGCTGCTGCCTGCAGCGCCCCTTTACTCGCGCTGAGCTCCCGCCCCTGGGGAGCAGCTGGAATCCGCGCCAGCCAATCAGCGAGCCGCGCCGCGGGCTCATTAGCATGCGCTGCGCTTGCGTTCACCTGCCGCCGGGGGGCGGTGTGTGGCTCTGCCGGAACCCAGCAGAGCCTCAGGTGAGACCCGAGTGGGGGGAGGGTCTGTCACGAGATGGGCCTTTCAACTCTGCGACAGGTCCTCCCACTCGGAACAGAGTTATGTGCAGAAGTGAGACAGGGCAACCTTACTAATAAGCGCGGTGGGAAACACAGTTCCTCTCCCAGCTCTGCCGTAGCCAGCTGGGCAACCTTGGGCAAGTTCCTTAAAGTCTCTAGGTCTCAATTTCCTTATCTGAAAAGTAAAAAAGTGAGATCATATCCAGCAGAATGATTGGGTATATCATCGAATGGGGAAGTGTGTAATACAGTGCTTGGCCCTCAAGGAATGTTTAAAAGTGTTTGGGGGGGGGGGGGGTGCAAAATGACCAGTGGAATTGGCGAGATGTTGGTTAATAAAAGAAAGGAAGTGAAGAAGAAAGAGAAGTCCATTGTAGTCCCTGCTACTGGGCCAGCTGACTGGTCTAAGCAAGTTCTATTTCACTGCTCTGGTCCTTGGTGTTTCCATAGCTAGAAAATGAATGGGTGACCCTCCTACGCCATCATCAGAACCCTTCGTGGCTTGTCATACAAAGCGCCTTTTCTGTGTGTACAAGTTGGATGGCTATTGATTGTAGCGGATAAAATGTTTAAGTTGGAAAAGAACAAAGAGGGATTTGCCTCAGGAAGGCACGGTCAACCATGTCCCTGCGCAGTGGTTCTTACCTATATTTTTGGAGGTGCATCCCTATAAGAATCTGCTATGGACACTCTCTCAGGCAACATGGCTGTGTGTGCCTCTTTACAAATCCTCACACATATTTTGAGTCTTTGTTTCTTGTAACCAAAAGGGTCAAACATGTAGTGTGATGTTAAAAGTTAATGACTGTGTCCTGGAGGAAAAAATTATTTATTTACTTCACCTATTCATTTAAACAACGAATGTATTATATGTCAGGCATTGTGCTAGAGTCAGGAATTCACAGCAGTATATGATCCAATTCCTGTCTCGAGGAGCTCACAGGTGAATGAGGCAAATTATAAACAGAATCTATTTATAATGGCGATGCAGTCAACACAGTGCTGGACTTTGTTGCAGGGCACCTTTCCCAGCCAGAGTGGAAGAGAAGATCAGGAAGACTTCCTGGAGGAGGAGTCTTAAAGGAAGATGGAGAGTTAACCAGGTGAAAAGGGATAAATGCAGGTACATCACAGAGAACAGCACAGAATGGGCATGGAGGCAAGATCAGCATGATCAGAAATTCCTTGGACACAACATCCTGTGAGGTTGGGAAGATGGAGATAGGGATCAGACATCAGTTGGCTTTGATAGGGGTGGGGAGGTGGAGAGTTTGGGTCAGGATTACATCGACAGGGGCATAGGGAACTGTCTGAAGTGACAAAGGTTGCATATCTTGATGGGAGTGGTGGTTACAGAGGTAAGTTTGTCAGAACTCATCCAACTGTCTTCTTAAAAAATCTGGGAGCATAACATTGCATGTAAACTACCCTTCAGGGAAAGGATCGGCCCCAAAAGCAAATATTATCTTGCAACATGACAGAGGGACATAGTGCTAAAAGGAAATCCTCCTGTGACTCCGTCAGGTAAATGGACTCCCCATCGTCATCACCATCGTCACTCTAGTCCTCCGCGTCCTCCTCATCAGCAGAAGGGTGTGACTCAGGACCTGGATTGGGGTCATGCTGCCCTGGACACACTGTACAATGTGACTAACATGGACCTTGCCCCCTGTAGGATAAACGTCATCCAGGCACAATTGTGTGGCCATCCACCCAGGTCTAAAGTCACCCCCGGTCAGCTCAGCCATTTACTTCAGTTCCCTGTGCTGAGTGCTGAGGGGATAAGGCCTGAAAAGACTCGGGAGGATAAACACCCCAACTCTCCCTCTCCTCCTGCTGCCTCCCATTGTCCAGTCCAGACCGGAAGCCAGAGGCGATGCAGCCTGGGTGATGCAGTCTGTTAGGGTCAGCCTCCTGGGACACAGAGCGGGGCAGAGGAGGGCGAAGGATCCGGGTGGAGGGGACTCGGCACGGCCCGCGGCAAACCCTGCCGAAGCAGCACAGCGGCTTAAATGCCTCTGGCAGTGCGGACTCCCAGAAGAGAGTCCTCAGGGTTGATCCTGTGTCCCCAGGCACCTCGGGCAGCTCGGTAACCGCACCTCCTGCCCCTGGACAGGCATCTCCCAGACTCGGAAAGAAATCATGTTGAATTCGTCTGTCTCCCGGAGCCACTGCCCCTACTCCACCCCCACTGCCGTTTGCATTTCACATCATTCTCTCTAGTTTGAATTTGTTACACTTGTGTATTACATTTGCTGTTCTAAAACAATCATACGGAGGGAAAATAGCCGCTTAGATGCATGCATGTTTCTTCCTAACTCCTGCTAGAGAGGCAAGAGCTCGGGGAAACGTATTCCAGCAGGAAAACCAGGGGCCCTGTTGGCTACCCAGCCAGCATGCGGGGCCCGCTGGTCAGCGCCAGGTCAGCAGCAACGCAAGGAGGGGCGGAGCACAGCCACCCGTGACCCTGTACTTTCACCTTCTGCACAAAGAAGCTATTTTAGGCCTCCGGAAGCTGGCCACGCTTGGTGTGATCAGGGGGAGGGAGAGAGAAAAAGAGAGAAGAGAGGAGAGAAAGAGAGAGAGAGAGAGAGAGAGAGAGAGAGAGAGAGAGAGAGGAGAGTTGGAACTTTTCTGGACGTTTTCCTGCCTCTTTCTCATCCAGGAATTGTTCATAAACTGTTTTAGCCCATGGTGGCCACAACTGCATCACAAAGTACAGTCCTGTAAAAACCGCGTCCCTATCTCTTTTACCCTCGATGGAAGTCTTTGGACCCATCCAAGATGATCTTTTTCACAAGCATTGCCAGGGATAAACACAGGTAAACAGAGCAAAGCCACACCGCGCTCTGCCCCCATACCTCTCCCAGCTGCATGGGGTTCTCTTCTGTCTCCCTGTGTCTGCTATTTTCTTGTGAAGGATGTTCTTTAAAACTCACCGAGGACATGTTTTTATTGATTTTTAGAGAGAGAGAAAGGGCCAGAGCCATCGCTGCATTTGACCGGGGATCAAATCCACAATCTAGGTACGTGCCCCGATCGAGACTTGAACCCGCAACCCTTTGGTGCACAGGGCGGTGCTCCAACCAACGGAGCCACCCGGCCAGGGCTTGTGAAGGGTGTTCTTATTTTTCAGTAGAAATTTTCGAACAGTGGAGTTTTTGTAAATGACATTATGGGAAAAGGTTTCTTCACACCTCAAAGGCTGGGAGAAGGGGAGGTGCGAAAGCCTCAAGGCACAAGATGTGCGTTCCCTCCCTGCTCTGCCTCCGACTGGAGGTGTGACTTTTTGAGCAGCTCTGCTGAGGTATAACTGACACCCACTCCGCGCGCGTACTTAGTGTTCATGTACGTGTACACCCGTGAAACGACACCCATGATCACGACGGGGAGTGTAGCATGTCCCCCAAGAGCCTCCTGTGCCTTTGTGACCCCCCCTTGCTGGCCCCAGACAGCCACAGACCTGCTTTCTGTCACTATGAATGAGCTGGATGGGTGACTTTGGTCAAGGTGCCTCGTCTCTGATTCTCTAGTTTCCTACTACTAATAAAAAAGTATCAGACTTGACGAATTCAAAAGTCTCCTCCCATTTTACACATCATATGACGTTAGTATTCTAAGCAGAGTGAAAAGCTCAGTCCGCCAACGGCTGGAGGAGTGGGGCTCAGTGCTCCTGACAAAGCGCGGCCCCTCTGGACTGGGACCCCCCCACCCCCCACCCCCACAAACACACACACACACACACACACACACACACACAGGATTTCAGGTGACAGACATTCAAAAAAAGCATGGCTCAGTGGTGAAGCATCGACCCAGGAAGCAAGAGGTCAGGGTTTGATTCCCTGTCAGGGCATGTGCCCGGGTTGCGGGCTGATCCGCAGTAGGGGCCATGCAAGAGGCAGCAGATGGATGATGTTCCTCTCTCTATCTGCTCCCTTCCTCTCTCTCTAAAAATCAATTAAAAAAAAAAAAAACATTTAAAAAAATAAAAGAGCTGAACACTTCCATTGACATACCCCAACCAGTCCTGCCACAAGTGATCAGAGGGGGTGGGGGTAAAGGGCAAGCAAACCCCCCTTTGAGAGAAGCCCCCCCCCAGGAAAATGGACTACTTGGTGCACCCCACCTGTGCACCCAGAGGCTTGCTGAAGTCTCTTCTTTTGTCAAACATGCTTGAAGGATGGTTACACTGAGTGCACTCCAGCTGAGGGCCCTGTACCATCGGTCAGATGCTCCCACTGCCTCATGGGGTGGTTCAGGCCCCTCCTCCCTCTTCCAGAGCCATCACCGCATTTGCGAGGGGCCCAGAGGGCAGCAGAGAGCGAGTGTCTTTCTTAAGGGATTTTCCAAAGTTCTGGCCCTTCTGCCTTTTCCTTGGTTTTCCCAGGAATGGCCACGTCTGGAAGAGTACCGGAAGATGGCCCATACAGGAGGTGCAAAGAAAATAAGAACATTAACCCCTGCAAGAATTTCTTTACACATCCGTAACTTCCACTCTACTTAGATCAGTGGTTCTCAACCTTCTGGCCCTTTAAATACAGTTCCTCATGTTGTGACCCAACCATAAAATTATTTTCGTTGCTACTTCATAACTGTCATGTTGCTACTGTTATGAATCGTCATGTAAATATCTGATATGCAGGATGGTCTTAGGCGACCCCTGTGAAAGGGTCGTTCGACCACCAAAGGGGTCGCGGCCCACAGGTTAGAACTGCTGATTTAGATGCTGTATTTGAAGATCTGCTCTGCCCACATGCATTTCTCTTTGCTCCATGTGTGGATCTAATATTGCTTTCTCTCTCTTCTCTCTCTTCGATAGATAGACAGATAGATAGATAGATGTCTGGTTATATCCCCTGAACCTCGGAAAAGCTAGTTCTGCCCCTTCCTTGCTCTCTTTATCTTCGGTAGACATCCCTTCTGAGTTCAAAATTCAAGCCACTTTACAGACACCAAATTTAGTGTTTTGTAAAAAGTCCACACCTTTAGGGTCGGAAGGATTAGGGAGTGACTGCTAATGAGTGTGGAATTTCTTCTTGGAGTAAGGAAAACGTCCTGAAATTAGATAGTGGTTGTGGTGCTCAACCTTGTGAGTATACGAAAACCACTGAATTGTATACGATAAAAGGGTGAACATGATGATATGTGAATATCGCTCTAGTTTTCTGAGTGCAAATTCAGAGGTTTAATCTTCCCAAGATATTGCTATTATAAACCCCTCCCTTTCCCCAAAATCTTCAGTGGCTCCCAGCTTCTCTAAGGCAACGGGCATTTCTCCTGCCAACCCCCCAGCGAAGAGGTGGCTTCTCAGGCAGAAAAAGGAAGCAGTCATTCAGAACGTCCCCTTCGGTGCCAGTCTGTTGCTGGAACTCACCTGCTCACGGTATGAGAGCAAGTCCAGGACTGGGAAGAAACGGAGTCTGTAATCCTCAGGAATCCAGCCATGTTTTGGCAGGAAAATGGTTCTAGCTTCCTGTGGTTCTTTTTCCTGTTGTTTATCCTCTAGGACCTATTACATGTTCATTCATTGTTCCAACTTTCTCTGCTCTGTGTTTGGAAGTACTGAGTGTTGTCCAACAAGCCTTGACTGAGCGCCATTTCTGGGGTGGGAACTGTATTAAGCTCCCACGGGTATAAAGGTAAATAAGACCTGGGCCTCCTTCAGGGATGTTCGCAACTGGTCTCGGCCTATTAATAACCCGTGTTGTAGCTGGGCCAGCCTTTGGTTCTTATGATCGCAAGATGCCCTTCAGCAATAACCATCAGGAAACTGAAAAGATACAGGTTAATTACTTGCAGGAAATTACACAGCGCAATGAGCTACACAGCAAAGTTTACAAGGAGGGGGTGGGGGAGAGAAGGAGAGAGAAAGAAAGATAGAAAGGGCCTGGGGTTCTGTTTTTATTGGGGTTGACAGTGGGGGGCCGAGGGTTTCTCCTGGCTCAGTCTTTATTGGTGACTTTATTTATTTTTAATTTATTTTTTTTGTTGTTGACAGTATTACAAATGTCTCCTATTTCCCTCCTACCACCCAGCCCCCACCCCACCCCAGGCCTTCCACCCCATTATTGTCTGTGTCCATGGGCTATGCATATACTGTGTTCATATAAGTTCTTTGGTTAATCTTTTCCCATTCCCCACCCCATCCCCCACCCCACCCCCCACCCCCGCTTCCCCTCTGAGATCTGTCAGTCTGTCCCAGGCATCCATGCCTCTGGACCTATTTTGTTCATCAGTTTATTTTGTTCATTAGTGACTTTAAAACATAAGAGCCGGAGTTTAAAGCACAGGAAGAGAAAAACAAACAAGTAGCCCAATTGGTCAGCTATTGAAATCAGCCAAGATCTTCCAAACAAAGGAGCCTCAGTTTGGCGGCGGCCTGGCTCCTCATCCAGGGTCACGTGGCTGACAAAGTGTTTACTGGGACAGCTGTCTTTGAAGTGGACTCCTTGGCAATCAAAGCTTAAATCAGGCAGTTGCATTATAAAAAGAAGTGGGGTTGGATGGGGGGGGGGGGGGGGGCGGCAGGGCTTACACTACAAGGGCATTCCCAGTAGGGAAGAAAAATATAAAATATAATTCTGGGAGTAATGCAAGGCGATGATACTGGAGTATGTGGAAGGCAAAAAAAAAAAAAAAGTGAAGAAAGGAAAGGTGGTAAGAGCCTGTTCAGAGGCATGGAGGCAGGAAATAATGACAATACACACCTACCAGGAGGTGTTAGGATACCTGCTCCGTTCATTTAGTTCTCGCTATAACCCTATGAGGAAGATGTCTATTATTAATATACCCATTCAACAAATGCGTAAATTGAGACTCAGAGCAGATAAGTAGCAAGTGGAAGTTCATGCACTTAGGATGCAGCAGAGCCAGGATTGGGACCAGGCAGACTCAGACATCATACCTTCCTCCAAGCCATACCGGGATATATATATATATACCCTCACCTGAGGATATTTTTCCATTGCTTTTATTTATTTATTTTTAATATATTTTTATTCATTTCAGAGAGGAAGGGAGAGGGAGAGAGGTAGAAACATCAATGATGAGAATCATTGATCAGCTGCCTCCTGCACACCCTCCTCCTCCTCGCGCCCCCCACCCCGCCCCCCACTCAGGGACCCGGGTATCCAGCCTGCAACCCAGGCATGTGCCCTGACGGGGAATGGAACCCTGAACTCCTGGTTCATAGGTCCATGCTCAACCACTGAGCCACGCCCAGCCCGGCACCCATTGCTTTTAGATAGAGTGGAAGGGAGGTGGATGGAGAGAGAGAGGGAGAGAAACATTGATGTGAGAGAGATACATCCACTGGTTGCTACCCTACTGGGCTGGGGATCGAGCCTGCAACTAAGGTATGTGCCCTTGACGGAGAATCAAATCCAAGACCCTTTGGTGCTGGGGCCAACTCTCTAACCACTGAGCAAACTGGCCAGGGCTATGCTGAAATGTTCTGATGGGCCAGGCCTGAGTCAAGTATTCACCTCCAAAGTGAATTGAGAGCTAGCTGGCTTCCTACCAAAAAAAAAAAAAAAAAAAAAAAAAAAAAAAAAAAAAAAAAAAAAAAAAATCAGGGTTAAAATTAAATAAAAAACCTGGAAGTTGGACAAGCAAAATCAGCAGTTGTCCATGTCTGGTATTCGCTGGCACCCTGCCCCGGGGCGAAAGGACCCCCTCCCTCTCTTGGGCCGGTGAGAAGCTGACCTGGCCACACTGACGTCTGGAAACCACCCCACCCCGGTGAAAAATCTCTGCCGGACAAACGGCTCCGGAAAATGACCAAACCGCAGGACAGGCCGCAGGTTTCACCTGACCCTGGAAAGCCCCGACTGCCACCAGGTTCGGCCAGCAACAATTGCCTCAGAAAAGTATAAAACCTTGCCCCTGCCCAGGTTGGGCGCGGCTTCTCCTGCTCCCCTCTCTGAGCTGGTGAACCCGCCCGTGTGCTCCCAATAAAGCCTGTTTAATCTGGTCTCTGTTTGGACTCACGGTTTTTCCTTGCGGCGGCGTAAAACCTAAGAGTCCACTGTAGAAGCACTTCAGAAATGTAGCTTGTCCTTTCTTTTGGATTGTCTGCTTGGGATACGTTTTCCACAGATGGTCTCTCATGGGTCAGAGCCCAAACATAGTCGATGGTTTTTGAACTAATGTCCAGTCGTTTTTCAACGGGATTTCATAGTTACATTGTTTGCCCAGAATGAACTAATTTTGCCACACCCTTATGTGTGTTGGAGGCCATTACGTGTTTTAAACCTAGACCATTCTAATTTTACTAGGTTCTGTATTTATATTTGCATAATTTTCTTTCTCTTTTTAGAGTAGAAAATTCAAATAAGAGAGTATTTAAAAGTTGGTTAACTTGAACCTGGGGATCAACAGAGAAGCCACTTGGGGCCTTGCGGGTGAGGGGAGGCCAGGTGCGCCATTCATCACTGCAGAGTTGTGTCTCAAGACACAAGGGCAGCAGGACGGCCCCAGCCTGGGGTTCAAGTTCAAAAGGTGCTTCAAATGTAAAACTTTTTAAAAAACGGAGTCACTTTAGCAGCGTTATTGCATGAAAGTTAGACCTCATGTCAATAAAAAGGAGTGCATGTGCGCAAGCCAAAAACTGCTAAGGAGTTTTGGGGTGCCCTATCGCGTTCCTGCACCTCCGTTTTTTAAAATCTCCATACAAGCAATCGCCGGCTCTGCCAGTAGCGCAGTAGGTCCACTCGGGTATGAAAGCGTGAGCAAGAGTCCCGAAGGCCTGTACCGCGCTCCACCGCGCAGGCGCAGGGCCCCTCCCACCAGCCACTGCGCCGCGCCAGGGCTAGAGCATAGAGGTGCGGATCCCTCCACGCGCCTAGAGAGGAAACGCAGGCTCCCTGGGGGCCGACTTCCGGCGGCGGCCCACTTCCGGCCCCGCCCCGCCCGCCCCGCCCGCGGAGTTCACAGGTATCCAGAGGCGTCAGGCTGGCTTCCTTCTACAACCTGTTCCGGACCAGCGGCGGGGTGGCGCTGGGGGGCGTGGACCGCAGAAGTCGAGCTTGGGGCCCTGCGAGGCGCCTGCTCCGCGGACCCACGTGCGGCGGCTTTGAGGGGCGGAAAGGAAGGAATCATGGAGCTGCCACTTTGCAGCCCAAGTGATGCCTCGGGGTCGGCCCCTCGAATACCCCGCGCCGCGGACGTATTCCTTATAACTACTCGAGGCCATCTGGCTCGTGGAAAATAATGGTGACGTTCCAATATCAAAACAGGTGATTTTAGGGCATGTTTCGAGTGTCTGAGAGAACGACCCACTTGCCCATTTTTAAAAATCAGGTAACTAAAAAAAAAAAAAAAATGCATGTTAGTATTGAATTGTGGCCAGATAGGGGAGAGAGGAGTTAAGTTAAACGATGAGGAACTGTGGCCCTGGAAGAAGAATGGGGCACAAGGGGAACACGCAGAGTGCCATTTGGAAGGATGGAGGTACTGGGGTGCAGGGGGTCGGAATGTACCCAGGAGAAATGGGACTCGCGCGCTTTTAGATTATTTGCAGAATATGTACTGGGCTGGGTTCTTTTCCAGGGTGGCCACTGGCCATAGGCGCCAACTGCCTGAACTTTCTGAACTGGAGTTTCCTCAACATTGAAGTGAGGGGACCCGCCCTGGCCGGGTTGGCTTAGCGGGTAGAGCCTCGGCCTGCGGACGGAAGGGTCCCGGGTTCGATTCCGGGTCAGGGCACATGCGCGGGTTGTGGGCTCGATCCCCAGTGTGGAGCGTGCAGGAGGCAGCTGATCAATGATTCTCTGGCATCATTGATGTTTCTATCTCCCTCTCCCTTCCTCTCTGAAATCAATAACAAATATATATATTGAAAAAAAGAAGAAATGAGGATACCTGCCATCCTGACCTACCCTGTGTGGTTGTGCAGTGGGATGTGCCCTTTTACAAATCGAACTTACTCTCTCGGACACTATTTTAAAGATTGTGTTGGGGGAATATTTCATTTAAAGAAGATTTTCCCATCATGTGTTCCTGAAGGGGAAATAAACGGTGGACAAATGAGTTTGGGATTTGAACTCCGGTCTCTGAGCACAGTGAATAATCGATTGTGAATCTGTTCTGGGGGGCCCTGCAGTAGTGGAACTCTTCTGACTCTGATTGGCCTGATGTTTCTCAAGTGTTGTGACTGGGGAAGCTTGAGTAACGCCCTATTAATGTCTCTCTCCGAGGGGTATTTCCCAGAACCTATTTTGGGAAATGCTGACATAAAGAAATCCCTTACCTGGGTGGGCTCAGATCTGCTCAAAAGGCACTCTCACTTCTCAAAAGACATTTCAGAACTGCTCTTTAAAAGTCATCTGACTGGATTTCACTAAGGGTAGTTTCCATTTTACAAACATTGCAGAAAATGGTCTGTAATGAAGTACTACAAGTCCTATAGCAGTTGGAAAAGGAAGTGAACCCTTCTTGTTCCTCCTACATGCATCATGCACAGTGTGTGATGTCTCAATATCATTGAGCAAATATTACCAACATATAATTACTAACACAATGGAAGTAATTATTTTAAAATATATATATATATATATATATATATATATATATATATATATATATAAAAATTGTTCCAAGTGGTAATTCTACAATTCAGGGTTTCTTAAACAGACTTCTTAGGAAATTTGTTCATGGATTCCTAGAAGAGCCCAATTTAATAAGATACAATTAGCATTTTCTCCTATAAAGAGAATGTCATTTAAAACCACTTAAGTGTGTCCAGCTGGCGTGGCTCAGTGGTTGAGCGTCAATCTATGAACCAGGAGGTGGCCGTTTAATTCCTAGTCAGGGCACACCTGGGTTGTGGGCTCGATCCCCAGTGTGGGGGGTGCAGGAGGCAACTGGTCAATGATTCTCTCTCATCATTGATGTTTCTATCTCTCTCTCCCTTTCCCTTCCTCCCAGAAATATATATATATATACACATATACATTTAAGTGTGTTGTATGTATACATTAAGGGACATTGATGGGAAACTTGCCCTAACAGTTTAGAATAAAATTTAATACAAGCATCATCTTGAACTTCATTCAAAATCAAAGTAACAATAAAAGCTCTTAATGAGGTAGTTTCACATGTCTGGCACAAGTTTCTGTCAAAGAGAGCTTCTTAGTATGTTAGAAACTTGCTGTCTGGCCGTGCCAGGGCCCCGGCGGATCTTTCCCGCGCCCCGTTCCTCCCGACCCCTCCACCCGTCCTCCCCTTCCCCCTGCCTTCGGGCCAGGTAAAAAAAAAAAAAGAAACTTGCAATTTCAAGCAAGACCTGCCTAAGGACGACAGTAACAATACGTTGGAGTGTCCTGTTCCAGTGCCTGGTCTTCCATTCCATAGGGCCAGAGACCTAATGGCATTAGCTCACAGAGATAAGCAGGCTTCAGAGGACAGACTGAGTTTGCTAACCAAACTCAAAAGGGACTGATGTATAAAACTCACATGTGAGCTCATTCCTTTCTAGTGAAAAATATAAAAATATAATTACCAGTGTTGGATAATTTTATTTGCCAACAGTGTGTTCCTTCTTGAAGGAAAGTTACATGGGAGTCCAGATTCTTACACTACAGTATAGATTACAGCCGTGGGCAAACTACGGCCCGAGGGCCGGATGATCCGGCCTGTTTGAAATGAATAAAACTAAAAAAAAAAAAAGACCGTACCCTTTTATGTAATGATGTTTACTTTGAATTTATATTAGTTCACACAAACACTCCATCCATGCTTTTGTTCCGGCCCTCCGGTCCAGTTTAAGAACCCATTGTGGCCCTCGAGTCAAAAAGTTTGCCCACCCCTGGTATAGAATCAAAGCAATGAAAATGATGTCCCCGTTTAATGGCATCAGGTGTCTTCACTCTACAGACACACCTGTCAGATGGGCCAGACATTTCCATGGGTGAAAAGTACTCTCTTCCGTGGTGCTAGGAGCAAAATAAGTCATTTTGCCTTCATCCCTTTCAGAGATGCGCCCCCGCCCCCGCGCCCGCCCCCCTCTCTTTTTAAAAAATTTTTCTTTTTAGTGAGAGTGGGAGTGAGAAGACAGACAGAAACATTGATGTGAGAGAGGGACGTCGATTGGTTGCCTCCTGTATGCACCCTAACCAGGGCAGGGGATCAAGCCTGCAACCTTGGTAGGTGCCCTTGACCGGAATCAAACATGGGACCCTTCAGTCCAAGAGCTGACACTCTATCCACTGAGCCAAATTGGCTAGGGCTCCTCATATTCTTTCTCAAGCTAGACTACAATGCTTGAGACTTGGTTTAAGCTTTTCAGTTTACAGTCCCTATCCAGGTCTACCTCCCTGAAGTTGCACCCAAGTCACCCAGTTTGGATTTGGGGTCTTCACAAAATCCCTTGGGTCCTTTCTATTACGACTGATTTCATTCTATATGTTTCATTCTATATAAGTTTAAGTGTCTGTTGCCCCTCTTGTTGGTTCAAAACCTTAGAAGCTTCCTGGGTGAAATCTGAAAGTGTTCCCATACAGCGAAGGCAAGGAGAGGGAAGAAAATGGCAGTCCACTCCAGTTTGCAGGCGGTGTTACCACGCTAAAGGGTTTGCTTGCCTGCATGCATCCAAGCCCACTTAAATACCAACAGGAGTTTGTAGCCAAGAAAATGAAGGTTTATTTTATTATTCTTTTCAATCCTCACCTGAGGATATTTTTTCCATTGCTTTATAGAGAGAGGGGAGAGAGAGAAAAATATCGACATGAAAGAGACACATCAATTGGCTGCCTCCTGCACGAGTCCTGACCAGGGGCCAGGGATCAAACCTGCAGCCCACTTATGTGCCCTTGAGTGGGAATCAACCTTCAACCCTTTGGTGCCAACTCTCTAACCACTGAGCAACACCAGCCAGGGCAAAGTTTAATTTTTAAGGAAATGGCACCACACCCGGAGTCACAGGTGAGAGGGAAGAAAATGGCTCTCTGATGGCTTCCAGGGGGTGGGTTACATAGAGGGAGAATCATTAATCATGGTGACTAAGGGGGTTAGGGTCATGATCGCCACTGATTGTGCTGGTGCCAGGGCAGGGGACAGGTGATCATTGCTTCTGGTCCTGATTTCGCTTCAGCTAGTTTCACAAGGATGTGGTCGGTGGAGTTGGTTCACTTTTCCGAGTCTGGAGCTGAAACACAACCGAGGCCTAGATGTTATCTTTGACTAAAACTGTCTCTGTGGTCAATAGGCCTGAGGCTTTGTTCCTGGAATTGCTGAATGCTGACCAGCAACCAGGGCCTCATTATCCTGAGGGCTTAAAGATTAAGGGAGTGGACGTGCAAGGGAGAAGAAGGCAGGTAAGCCAGGGTGCTGCACTAGGCCAGTTTGTTTCATTTTTTAACTAATTTTATTTATCTTAATTTTTATTGAATTTATTGGGGTGACATCTATAAGAATAAAAAGGTAATATGCTAATTAGACTGAACAACCAAATGACCTTCCGGATGAAGCCGGGGCTGCAAGGACCGAGCCCCTTGCGTGAATTTCGTGCATCGGCCTCTAGTTAGTTAATAAAATTATAAAGGTTTCAAGAGTCCAATTCTGTAATCATCTGTATATTGCATTGTGTTCACAACCCAAAGTCAAGTCTCCTTTCATCACCATTTATCCCCCTTTTACCCTCTTCTACCCCCCCTACCCCCTTTTCCTCTGGTAATCATCATACTGTTGTCTGTGTGTATGAGGGTTATTGTTTTTTCTTAATCCCTTCACCCTTTTCACCCAACCCCCCCTCCTTCTGACAACTGTCAGCCTGTTCTCTGTATCTATGACTCTGTTTTTGTTTTGTTCATTAGATTCCACATATAAGTGAATCCTATGGTATTTGTCTTTCTCTGACTGGCTTATTTCACTTAGCATAATACTCTCCAGGTCCATCCATACTGTTGTCTAGGTAAGATTTCATTCTTTTTTACGGCCGAGTAGTATTTCATTGTATAAATGTACCATACATTTTTTTTTATCCACTCATCTACTGATGGGCACTTGCCTGCTTCTAGATCTTACCTATACTATATAATAAAAGGCTAATATGCAAATTGTCCCCTCGACGGGGAGTTCGACCAGGAGTTCAACCAGCAGGTGGGGGATCGGGGTGGGTCGGCTGGATCTTGCCTGTGCACAAATTCATGCACCAGGCCTCTAGTTGTCAATAATGCTGCAGTGAACAGAGGGGTGCATCTGTTCTTTTGAATTGATGTTTCAGGTTTCTTTGGATATATTATCAAAGCGGAATTGCTGGGTCATAAGGCAATTACATTTTTAATTTTTTAAAGTAACTGCGT